TATATATAGATTACAGACACGTGCATGTATATGTGTGTGTCCACACACATACATTGGCTTGTGTGTGGCAGGTTTTAGAACCTGTCAGAGGCACAGAAAATAGCTTGCCTCACGTGGCATCAGAGGATGACAGGAGACCTCAGCACCAAAGGGCTCCCTGACTGCTCAGCAATCTGAGCTTGCCCTCAGATAAGCATCTATTTTCCTCCAGTAAACAAAAGCCGAAGAAGAACCAGAACACTTGTTCCAGGAAACGGTAACTGCAGTCACAAGTCATCAATAATAAAGGAGAGAAAAATCCTCTTTTAACTTAATGGACTAAAAGATATCTTGCTTTTCATTTTTGCTAATGGCCCTTGTCCCTGGGCGCTCCCAGAGCTGGCCCATTATGGAAGAATATGGCCTCGGTTTGCAAGCAGGGAACGGTCCAAGACATTAGCTGTAAGTTAGCTGTTTGGGACAAAAACTGGTTGTGCTGGATTGTATGGTTCCTCTGCATGGTGCTGTGTGGCCCCTGTGAGGTCAGAGTTCTAGGCCTAAGAAGACAGGTTCTCAGCAGTGGAGGGAGAAGACAGATCAACCCCTGTTCCTTTATACACAGCCTTCACTTTGAGCATAATGAAAAGATAGGTTAAGATTCATTTTTATCAAGTAATTATTTTCTATCTTTTTGTCTCCCAGTTGGTATAGGGTGCCAGGGTCCTATTTCCTGCATTGCGACACCCTCCTCTTATCTGCTGAACCCCCTCTAGGCTGTTGCCCTGCTTGGGTAGGCTGTAACCCTAAATTACCTACCTGTTCCTGCTTCCTAACCAAGCAAACTTTCGTTTCCTTGGGGCAGTGGATATCAGTTACTGTCCTGAGAAAAAGAAAAACAGCAGGCATGAATTCCCACTAGGGGGTAAATGGTTAAGAACCTCTTAACCCTCATAGTGTATTCTCATGTTAGAAGAGGTTAACTAGCTGGCTGTGGTGGCTCATGCCTTTAACTCCAGGACAAGGGGGGCATAGCAGGAGAAGTGCCTTGAGTGTGAGGCCCCCCTGGGCTTTCTAGTAAGTTCCAGGTCAGTCTGAGATTCAGAATAAGAGTCTAACTTAAAGAATAACAAAAAATGAAAGCCATAAAATATGTTGGTTGTGAGACTTGAAATCTGTGTGGCAGACTGGGGATGAGAAGAAGGGAGGTAGGGGGTGGCTGGAGAGATGGCTCAGCAGTTCAGAGTGTGTACTGTTCTCACAAAAGACCTGAGTTTGGTTCCCAGTACCTACATCTATCGGTTCACAACCACTCCGTGGGATTGGATGCCCGGTTCTGGCCTCCACAGGCACCTGCACTCATGTGCACATACCTACCCACAGACACACGCATACACATAACTGGAAAAAAAAAAACAAAAACAAAGCAAAACTAGGGATTTCAGACTCAAACTTCTGGGCCAGTGAGGTGGCTCAGTGGGTAAGAGTACTTGCTGTGCATGTCTGCAGACCGGAGTTTGATCCCTGGAACCCACCATGGAAAGAGAGAACACTTCTCCTGGCCTCCATCCATGTGCCACTGCATGAGCACCCACCCACGTACAGCAGTAACAATTTTTAAACAAGTTTTTAAAAAAAGATTCAGATGGGGTCACTCACATCTGTAATTCCAACACTCCGGAGGCAGATGCAAGAGGATGGCCAACCTGAGCAACATAGTGAGTTCCAGGCCAGCCTGGGCTACAAAAAAAAAAAAAAAAAAAAACAAAAAAAAACCACACACACACACATGAAAAAGCTATCTCAGTGGGTAAGAGCACTCAATATCAAGGCTTAGAAGCTGAGTTTGAGCCCAGAGCCTGCATGATGGAAGGAGAGACCCAACTCTCTGAAGGTTGTCCTCTGACATTCATATGTACGTTGTAGCACACACTCACGCACACACTCACGCACGTGAGTACACATACTAAATAATTTTTTTTTTTACAAGTTAATACTTTTAAAATTCAAAGGAAAAAAGAAAGAAAGAAAATTCAGACTTCATCTACATTTGTGGAACTCTCAGGCCGTTAACTGCCTGCTGTGTTTTTACATCACAGTCAGTTGGGAAATTACCCTTTCCTGGGAAACCAAGGATGGCCACGGGAAAGACATTCCCACATTCACACTCTGGGGCCTCCTCTCAGGGGAGGAGTTGGCCCTCTGCCAGCTTGCCTCTGAGAACCAGGGCATGGTATATAATCCTGCACATGGAGTCCCCCACCAGCCATTTCTACCACCAAATGATTCCTTAATAGGTTGACAAGCTTCTTCACATGCCTATAAGAAGTTAGAACAGGAAGAAAAAGACACAAGTATGACAGAACAAAATTTGAAAGGCCACGTGGTTCCTATTCAAAGAGAGATAAGACGTTTAACCTGTGAAAGGAGACAGGGTGTGTCTTTGTGTGTTGGAGCTATCGTAACGAAATACCATGGGCTGGGTGTTCCTCAACGTTCTGGAAGTTGGGGAACTCAAGATCAACATGCTGGCATGTGTTGTCTGTGGGCTCCATTTTCTGGCTCATAGGCAATATGCAGCTTTCTGGTGTCTCTCTTACAGTGTCACGAATCCAGCTCATGAGGGCTCCCCTGCCATCATCTGGTCACCTCCTGTACTACTCAGGTCCCTGATAGCTGTGACCAAATGCCTGACAAGTGGAACTTAAGGACAAATTTATTCTGGCTAATAGTTTCAGGGGACACAATCTACTGTTGTGGTGGGGGAGGCATGGCAGCTTGAGCCAGAGGCAACTGGTCACACTGTGTCCATAATCAGGAAGCAGAGAGCTATGAATGCTGGTGTTTGGCTTGGCTTTATTCAGTCCAGGACCCCTGATCATATCATGGTACTACCCACAGTTAAGTCAGGTTTTCCTAATCAAGAAACTCCCTCACAGATGTGCCCAGAGGTCTGTTCCAAAGGTGATTCTAAAGCTTATCAAGTTGACAATCAAGACCAACTATCAGCTTGGCGGAATTCTACCTGACTGCCTCCTGGAGTGCTGAGTTTAAAAGTGTGCACCATCACACCTGGCCAAATGCAACTTTCCAATAGCCATATTGACACAGCATGCAACAACAACAACAAGAGTAGCAAATTTAAAGATGGTGTGATGACACCTACCTGTGATCTTACCATCCAAGAGGCTGAGGCAGGGGGATTGTTGTGAGTCTGGGGCCAGCCTAGACTACATAGTAAGTCCCAGGCCAGACGTGGTGCTAGCCCGAGTAGGGAAGAATTCCCTCAGGTGATGTCAACCGCATGGTATACTTTGTGTCGTCTGGCTATAAGGAACCATGAATAATTTCTGAATACTTATTGGCAGGACTGTTTGTCTGCAATGGTATGGATTAGTTATTCTGAAATTACTCTCTGTGTGTCTTGTACCACAAAGCAGTTAAATGCAGAATCAAATTATGAATAATGGGAGGCAGACTTTTCATTACTAGGGAAGTAGTACATATGGAAAAAGGAAAGCCAGCCGGAACACTATGGTCTTCAGAGAGATTGGTAGGAATTCCCAGTGTAGGTGTCTTATGACTAAATTTGCTCGTTTAGAAATACACTCTGGAGTATTTAGAAGTAAAGGGGCATCATGTCTGCAGCTGATTCGAAAATGGCTTAGGAGGAAACAAAATCTGGTCACTGGGGAGGGGTTTGGTGGGAGGGGGAAGAGGCTCAGAGAGGCTCCCGGGGAAACATGACCAAAGCACATTCTGTAAGTCTGAAAAACTAGATTTTTTTCCCTTAATGTTAGAGGAGTTAAAGAGAGAGACTCTAGAGGCCAAGATTATATCAAGACATTTAAAAGCTGCTATTCTTGCCAGTCTTCTGTGAAGCTAAATTTTCATTTTAAAACTAGGCCTTGTGTAGCCCAGGCTGGCCTGGTTCTTGCTGTATAGACCAGACTGGCCTTTGCTTTCTAAGAGTTGGGATAACAGATGCAATCACTACACCGAACCTTTAAAAACAAAGTTTTGGGTGGGCCTGATGGTTCATAACTGTAATTCCAGTGCTCTGAAGTGGGAGACACGAGCCCATGGTCACCTGCTACATAGTGAGTTCAAGGCCTGCCTGGCTTTATGTGACACCCTCCCCAAATAAGTGCTTTGTCAGCTTGGTGAGGACAGTTTGGTTGAGTAAGGACAACACGTATGAGCCTTGTTATAACAGCTGCGACAAGGCAAGGAGAGCCCAAAGTTTGGGGGGTGGGTAGGAGGAAGGGTACAGAGATGTGGGGTGTGAGGTCCTTAACTTCCAAAGATGAGAGGTTGTTGACAAGGAAGTGGCATCTCCTGATCTGACTGTCCATGGTGCCTGAAGCGCCCAGGGATGCATAAAAGATTGAACAGGTGTATGCTTGGGAGGGCGAGGATCAGGAGATCCTGGGCGCCCGGGCTTCCCCATTCAGGGCTGAAATCTCCTGGGGGTCTGAGCTTGAAGCTTTTAGTTCCTCCGATCTTGAAAGGCTACCCTAGGCCTCACGCCCTGGGGCGCAGCCCTGCTTCCTGACCGCCGGTAAGGCCACGACACTCGCGCAAACCAATCGAGAAGGGAAAGTCCAGCGGGCGACGTGTCAAGCCGCTGACACGGCTGACTTCCTCGGACCCGGTGGTTAAATTACTCAGGCTCAGCCCACGGACCACTGAGCAAACCCGACAGGTGGCCCCCGTGACCCTGCACCGCCCGCGCGAGGAGCGGGCCGCGGCGCCCCCGCGAGGGCAGGAGGGGAAACGGCGACGGCTGGGGGTTGCCTGGCACTACATCGCCCTCTAGCTTCAGTTCACACTGGGAGCGGCAGCCGCCGCTACACCCTGCAAATGCTGGCGAAATGGGGCGGGGCCTTCAGGGGAGCGGGGCGGGGCCCAGTGCTTGGAGGCGGAGCCTTAGGGGCAAAGCGTACGGTTAGGGGGCGGGGCGATGGCTGAGGGGCGGGAAGGCGCGTGGCCCGTGGGCGGTGCCGGCGGGGCATCCGTGACTGGGCGTGGTGCGCCGGCGCGAGACGCATGCGCACAAGGACCGCCGTGGGAGCGGGAGGGCGGCCTGAGGGCCTGTCCGGGTGAGGGTGGTACGATGGAGCCGGCCGGGCCGGGCTGCGCAGGGGAGGAGGGGGAAGGTCTTGATCTCTGGGGAGGGGCGGATGTGGGAGGGATGGTTGCAGCGGAAGCAGAGGGGACCTCGGGGGCGGGTTGTCTCCTGGGAGCGACGCCGGTCTTTTCCGGTTGCTTCCCGGGGAGAAGAGGCGAACCCTGAGTTCCGGGGAGGCCCCCACAACTCACCCAGGCGGAGATCGGGTGGTGTCTGCAACCAGCTAGCATGTCTGATGAGACCCTGTTTGCGTGGGATGCGTGGGGGCATCCTAGGCCCCCAGCCCACGGCAGTGACTCTAAAATGCCTCCCTGCACACTTGTTCAGCAGTGGACTAGGACGCGGAGGCCTTCCGACCTCCCACCCACTCTGCTTTTTTTTATTTTCATTTTTTAATTAGGGTGAAGGCGCCCTCCACACCCCTTTGCCAGACATGTCTGTCATTAGAAAAACTTAAGTGGAAAAAGCAACTGGAGACTTCTCCTTTATAAAGGTAGGTAGACTACAGGGGGCCACGTTTGTCCTATATTTCATCCTAAAATTTCAGCCCAAATGTATAGTAATGAGGATTAGCTGCATTCACACCTTAGTCTATAGAGATCTTTTTAGTCTGGAATCTGCACCACCCTCTTGAGCTCCAGAATTCAGAAGTTAAGTGAGCACAGGCGTTAGCTTACATTTCAAAATCATTTGTCAATAAACTGAAAAGACCCTTAGGTGATTAGAAAACACAGACTGGACAGAAATCTTCATCTTTTTTTTCTTTTCTTACTCAAAAAGCCTCGTGGTGGAACATCTGCTTGACCATATCAGTGGGAGGATGAAGGTGCCACACAGGGACTCGAAATGAGTGGAAAAGGCCCGTCAGCGTGAGTCGGGCGTCGCGGTCGTCACCTTAGGTCGTCCCTGGTGTTTCATGGCTGACTTGAAAAGCTTAAGGGGCTGAGATGTATCTTGCCAACCTGCAGTTAAATTATAGAACGGTCACTTGCATTACTTTTCTTTGTCTGTCTGTCTGTCTGTCTGTCTGTCTCTCTCTCTCTCTCTCTTTCATTAATTGAATATCCTTGAGTAGCATTGGAAGGGATGAGATGTTTGTGTCCCAAGTGAGTCATCTCACAATATTGGGATTATTGTCAAATGACAGAGGACACTGGACTCTAACTTGAGTTAGGCTCTCCGGGTCACCACTAGTTTTTGTTCGTTTTTGTTGTGGTTGTTACTTACTGCTTTTGAGACAAAATAGTTCAGGCTGTTTTTCAACTTGCAGTCTCCTGCCTCTGTCTCCTGAATGCTGGGTTTACAGGTTTCCTCACCATGCCCAACTTATCAATAGGGTGGGAGCAGCAGGTTCTGTAAGAGATGGGAGGATGGATTGAATGGTTTTCCTTTTAATTCCTTAGATACTCTTCCCAATAAACTGATCGAATGTGGAGAAACCTTTAAATGTGACATTTGAAGACATTAGCAATCAATAGGTCACTTATTCTGGAGAGACACTAGAGGTGTATTTGAAGAATAGTCCTTAGTATGGATGAATGGATTTTGTATGTGTCTTCTCATTTTTTTAAATTTCATTCTCTCTCTCTCTCTTTGTAGATGAAGGTGCTACAGCACTCTGAACACACACTGAAAACCGCTCTCATCTCTCAGAACCCAGTGCTTGTGTCACAGTATGAGAAGTTAGATGCTAGGGAACGACGTTTGATGAATGAAGCCTTCCAGCCATCCAGTAATCTCTTTGGACCAATTACTGTGCATTCACAGTCAGATTGGATCACCTCCCACCCTGAAGTTCCCCAGGATTTCGAACAGTTTTTCACTGATCGCCACAGAAACATACCCTGTCCGGAGAAACACATTATCTATATGCAGTCCATTGGTATGTACTGGGAATGTGGTGGTTGAGGTTTGGCTTTACTGCGGTGCTGTCCTTGGTGGTACTTTGGGCAGTTGACCAAATTCAAGTGAGCAGTTTTTTTTGTTTGTTTTTTGTTTTATTTTGTTTTTGTTTTTGTTTTTCGAGACAGGGTTTCTTTGTGTAGCTTTGCGCCTTTCCTGGAACTCGCTTTGTAGACCAGGCAGGCCTCGAACTCACAGAGATCTGCCTGCCTCTGCTTCCCGAGTGCTGGGATTAAAGGCATGCGCCACCACCGCCTGGCCTCAAGTGAGCAGTTTTTTTGTTTGTTTGTTTTTTGTTTTTTTTTTGAGACAGGGTTTCTCTGTGTAACAGTCCTGGCTGTAGAACTCACTTCATAGACCAGGTTGGCCTTGAACTCAAAGAGAGAGGTCCACCTGCTTCTGCCTTCCTGAGTCCTGGGTGTATACCACCACACCCGGCTTCAAGTGAGCAATTTTTTATGGCTTCTGTTTTTTCTGTTTCCTTCCTTCCTTCCTCCCCCTTTTCTTTCTTTCTTTCTTTCTTTCTTTCTTTCTTTCTTTCTTTCTTTCTTTCTTCTTGTGCTGGGTATGGAACTCAGGGCTCTATGCATGCTAGGCACTTTATCATAGGTGATAGTTAAAAATAAAATATTGTTATTGTGTGTGTGGTGTGGGAGGAGACACACATGTGCAATAGGACAGCTTTTGGAGAGCTGGTTCTCTGCTTCCAGTGAGGATGTCACCTGTACAGCCACAGCTCTCCCTGCTGAGCCGCCTCGCTGGCCCTGTGCATACGCGCTGCTGATCCTCCTTCCTGCGGCAGGAGCCTTGTAGCCAAACTGGCTTGACAGTGAAATTCTTTTCTTTTGACTTGTAATCAATGACTGATTAAAAAGCATTGAGGTCTTAGAGTGGATTCTGTTTCTAATTCCAGACAGTTTATAGACTAAGGTGAAGAATGTTTCCATCATTTTTAAAGTGTGTCTCAATTTCCTACCCTTCCCCCATACTACAGGCTCTCTCGGCAACACCAGAGTTATCAGTGAAGAATATATTAAATGGCTCAAGGGCTACTGTGAAGCATTTTTCTATGGTTTGACTGTAAAATTCTTAGAACCAGTTCCAGTCTCTGCAACGAAGTGTTCCTTTAGAGTGAACGAGCACACACACAACCTACAAATCCATGCAGGTAAAGGAAGCACCTCTGCAGCTGGATTGCAGCAGAAAGGATGGGTGGGTGTCATAGATATTATACATGCATTTCTTTTTACATAGGGCACATCTTGGCATTCTTGAAAAAGAAGAAACCCAAAGATGCCTTCTGCATCGTGGGGATAACAATGATCGATCTTTACCCACGTGACTCCTGGAATTTTGTCTTTGGACAGGCCTCTTTGACAGATGGTATTCCTTTTTGATATTGTTTTGATATTGTTCAGCTTGAGGGTATTTGAAGATATTCAGAGAGTGGGAAAGAGAAATCCATCCAGTAGTATTTTCAGTAATTAAAACTGTATTTTCAGTGAAGTGCCATGCATGCCTGTAGCTAGAGTTTTCCTGCCTTGCCCACAGTCAGGACAAATCTCTCTCACTCACCAGTCCCACAGCCACTCAGACCCAACCAAGTAAACACAGAAACTTACATTGCTTACAAACTGTATGGCCGTGGCAGGCTTCTTGCTAACTGTTCTTACAGCTTAAATTAATCCATTTCTATTAATCTATACCTTGCCACGTGGCTCATGGCTTACCGGCATCTTCACATGCTGCTTGTCATCATGGCGGCTGACTGTGTCTCTGACTCAGCCTTCCACTTCCCAGCTTTATTCTCCTCCTTGTCCCGCCTACACTTCCTGCCTAGCCAATGGCCAATCAGAGCAACACATTTGCCATACAGAACATCCCACAGCACTTGCCATAGTGGGAAGTGTGCTTTGAAAGACTGATGATATGGGTTCTTTAGGAGGTCACATACTCCCTATCTGACCTTGAAGTAATAATGCTGTTCTCACAGAGTCATTTGGAGATCATTTGTGTAACAGTTCCTATCCATAAATAGTGCTTAAGATGCCTGGTACATACTCAGGCATTCAGCTCAACATATGGGGAGTTTAAGTTATGTATCAGCAAGACAAACAACTTGAGATTTGAGATATCATTAACATATAAAACTCTTACTACTTCTTTTCGTGTGTGTGTGTGTGTGTGTGTGTGTGTGTGTGTGTGTGTTTCTGGGGGGCCGGGGTGTGGCTTAGTACATGGCATTGAACCCAGGCCTGGTTCAAGGCAAGGGCTCTACCACTGAATTACAAGCATCCTATCTTAGTTAGGTTTTTGCTGCGAAGAGACACCTGGACTACGGCAACTCTTCTAAAGGAAAACATTTAATTGGGGCTGGCTTGCAGTTCAGAGGTTTAATCCATTATCGTCATGGCAGGAAGCAAGGCAGCAGGCAAGCAGACATGGTGCTGGAGACGGATCTGAGGGTTCTTACATATTGACTCATAGGCAACAAGAAGTGGTCTGAGATACTGGGTGTGGCTTGAGCATATATATGAGAACTCAGAGCCGGTTCTTATAGGGACACATTTCCTCCAGCAAAGCCACACCTCCCAATAGTGCCAATCCCTGTGAGCTATGGTAGCCAGTTACATTCCAACTACCACACATCCTTAGCCCTTGCTAGTTGATTTTGCACTTTTGATCAAGCACAGATAGAATATCCATAAACATATATAAGTACATATTTTCTTTTTCAACCTGTATGTGGCTTTATTTTTCCTTAAGATTTGTGGGTGTAGCTTAGTGGTAGAGTGCTGGCCTAGAAAACCAACTTTGAACTACATGTGGTGACATAGCCCTGTAATTGGAGGACTTGGGAGGTGGAGGCAAGAGGATCAGGAGTTCAAGGGTAGGCTCAGCTACTTAATGAGTTTAAGATCTGCCTGGACTACAGATATCCTATCCAAAACAACCCAACCAAGCATAAACAACAACAGAAAGAAACCAAAGTTCTTGCTGGGCATGGGGGCACATGCCTGTGATTTCGGCGTTGGGAGGCAGAGGCAGGAAGACCATAAGCTTAAGACCATACAACAGTCAATACCCCGTCAGAAAAACAAAGGAAAGAACCAACCTAGGCCTCGACTTGGGACACAATAAACTCGAACTCGTTAGAAGCTGCCTGGCAGTACTAGAAGGGTCTGAAAGGGAATCAGTTTCTTTTTTTTCTCACTTCTCTAATTTGTTATCTTTCCCCCTAATTTTTGCTGCTCTCTGTCTAACAACACACACACACACACACACACACACACACACACGCATGTGCACACACCCACACGCATGTGCACACACCCACACGCATGTGCACACACCCACACCCCAGAATCTGAGGCAGGCTGGAAGAGAAAAGGCCAGTAGACTAAGGGAGCGGGCATTAGCGTCCTAGGGAGGGCCAGTGAGAACCAAGGACTGGAGAGCTAATGGTCTGTCTGGACGTCCGCCAGGCCGAGGCTTGGGCAGGGGCTTCCCCTGGCAGATGTCTGTGTTAGAGCTGGGGCCAGCTTCTCTCGTCACTTCATCCTCAGTGCTCCATCCCTCGAGGTCCTTCATCGCAGCCCTGGATTCTCCCAGCATGCCCCTTTGAAGTCTTGGGTTACTATCCTGCTAAGTATTTTTATCAGATGTCTCCTTTTATTAATGAGATAGAAATGAAAACATTAAAAATAAACGCAAAACAATTTATTCATTGACCTAGATACCGCTAGTTAATTTATTATATGCATTTGAGGGGAGTGGGTCAGGAAACCTTATCCAAACTGTTTCTGTTTTAATTATTTTTTGGGGGGGGGGTTAAGTTTTAAAAATATTACATGACATAAAACAAGACCTGTCAGGGTAGCAGTTGATCTGATATGAATTGAGTATTTTACCACAAGTGGCCTGGTTTTCTTCAAGATTAAAGACTATTTTTAAGCAGAGAAGCATTTAAAATGTTATGGCTGAAGGAATCATGTGAAGTAGGCTCACACTTGTTGGATCAAAGCAAGTCACTTGTGATACATGATTAGATTTGCTTTTCCTTTTAGAATGCTCTTTCCCTAAATTTCAAGTATTGGTCTGCAGTTCCTAGGGGTGAAGTGAGGAACACTCTTGAATCAGGTAGAATTGGACAACATTACTATGAGTTTACTTACTTACAAATAAAGATTTCATGAGCTTGATGGTAGGGGACTTGCTTGGTGTGGCTGGGGCCCTGGCTTGCTCTCTAGCAAAACAAAACAAAACCAAAAACATCCATAAGGTGGGAGCACAACCTCACATAAGGTGGGAGCACTTCCTCCTCACATAAGGTGGGAGCACTGCCTCCTCACATAGGGTGGGAGCACTGCCTCCTCACATAAGGTGGGAGCACTGCTTTGTGTGCTTGAGTCTCTGGTTCCGAACCCTAGTAACACATACAAATTCATTAAGACTAACAATTGAAAGAGACGTAATTAAAAGTTTCTCCCTGGTGAACAGAGTTGTAGGACAGTCCCTGGACTGTGAATTAGGTGTCAGACTACTCTCCACACATGCAGAGATGGCATATAGGCCTCTGCTCTCACACATAGGAAGTCAGTTGCAAGGCTGTTTATTCTGGACACCTGTCACCAGCCTCTTGGTAGAGTTGTGCTGTGCTTTAAAAAGGAAGTAGTGGGAGAGAAGAGGCTCTTCTTTCTGAACATATAGTCTCTAGACGGGAGGGACAGTGAGTGGGTGCTGCCCTAGGGAAGGCCTGTGGGAAGCCAGCCCCCACCTTTTCAAGGGTTCTTAGGAGGAGGAGCGAGAGATAAGAAAATATTAGATAGAAAGATAGCGAAGAGGAGAAAGACAGAAACACAGGATAGCTTCGGGAGGACCTGGGTCAATACCCAACGGCCTTTTCCGTTTATTCTAAAGGACTTTTTATAACAGTGCCAAGGGGCGGGGCAAGAGACCTCCCCCTTGCTAGATCAAAGCACACCTCACAACCAAGTGCAGACCCTTCCAAACACCTGGTAACCAGGCCTGTGGTCAAATCTCCTTATGCAGCCCTGCCGGGTAAAACAAGCTCAGAGTCTCTGACCCTTAGTAATTTGGGCCCCTGCAAAGGCCAGAAACTTCACTGGTGTGTGAGGCAGAAAGTCTGCCCTTGTACTCCTAAAGCCAAAATCATGACTGCTTGTTACGTCACTGTTTATCATGGCTCTTCTGGAGAACTTGACTTGGACTATCTCTGAGTGAAGACATTTTAGGAGAAACTCAAACTTCCCCATTCTCTAGAATTCAACCATCGTTTGATGTTTCTAGGGTTTTTTTTTTTTTTTTGTATGTTTTTATTAGCATATCTTAATCCTGTGTAATAGTGGGATTCATGTGTGTGAAGAAGAGATCATCTTCGCCCCGATCCCGTCCCTCTCTTGGGTGCTGCTCCCATTTTTGTTGATTCCTTCTTGAATAGCCTCCCTTCTATTATTCTGTCTCTGTGTGTGTGTGTGTGTGTGTGTGTGTGTGTGTGTGTGTGTGTGTGTGAATCCGTGAGTTTAAGTATGGTTACTTCAGGAGCGTGTATGAAGGGTTACTGAAGGAGCACAGGCACCTTAACTGTGGCCGCTCCAGTGAAGAAAAGGTCACTCCCTCCTCCAGCAGGCCCTCAGGGAGGGTCCTGGACCTAGTGCGTCCTTCTCCCTGCATTGAATTCTCTAGGGCAGGGGAATTTGGTTGACAAGTAAAGATCTTGATAGGGAAGTCTGGGAGAAAGTTGTTTGTGTTGGCAAATCTTTTAAGTATTTCCAGTGTTGTGGAGTCAATCCAGATGTGCACTGACTGGCCAGATGTCTGAGTAGCCGTCCTCAGTCTTCCCTTGGCATGTCTTACCCGGTGATAAGGATAAGCTTGTCCTCTCTTTGTAGGTGTAGGGATATTCAGCTTTGCGAGGTACGGCACGGATTTCTACAGCTCCCGGTATGAAGGCAAAGTGAGCAAGCCCCAGCGAACATCTTCCAGTGACTATTCTGTTTTTGATAACTATTACAGTCCTGAGATCACTAGTATTTTGCTGTGGCGATCCTGTAAGGTAAGATGCTTGGAAAGTCCTTTTTTTTTTTTTTTAAGATAGAGATTTTACTTTTCCAGGATTGTTTATAGGTTTCCCCTCTTAGAAATATGTGTTCAAAGCATGTTTGAAGGGCCCATCAGCCAGTATGCTCATTAGCATCGCTTGGTGTGCTCATTAGCATGCAAATCAAGCCCCTTTTCCAAGATCTACTGAATCTGTCTCTGGGGTGATGGAGCCCACAATTTGAACTGCTAGGACCCTACTGGCCTAAAGCAAACTTACTATCCTCCCTCCTCAACCTCCCAAGTCTGGGGATGACAGGCATACTCCATCATATTTTGACATCCACAAATAAAACTCATTGTACTATCATCTAGTGGGTAGGACCGACTCATGAGAGTTCCCACACATGGGATCAGCCAGCCAACATATTAGCTGCCCCAAAGAGGAAGTAATGAAATGATCACTACTAAGTGTAGAAGATCTGGGCAGAATGACGTTTTGGTGATGATGGCCGTATTGGGTGATTGTCTTTGCCAACTTGACACAAGCTAGAGTAGAGTCATCAGAGGAAGGATCCTCAGCTGAGGAAGTGCCTCCTTAAGACCCAACTGTGAGGCATTCTCTCATCTAGTGATCAGTGGGGGAGGGCCCGGCTCATGGTGAGTGGTGCCATCCCTGGGCTGCTGGTCCTGGGTTCTATAAGAAGGTGGGCTGAGCTAGTCATGGGAAGCAAGCCAGTAAGCAGCTCCCCTCCATGGCCTCTGCATCAGCTCCTGCCTCTTGGATCCTGCCCTGTTTGAGTTCCTGTCCTGACTTCCTTTAGTGATGAACAGCAATGCTGAAGTGTAAGCCAGATAAACCTTTCCTCCCCAACTTGCTTTTTGGTCATGGTGTTTTGTTGCAGCAATAGAAACCCTAAGTAAGGCAATGGCAATGGCGTTGATTCCTGTAATCTGTTTCTTGTGTAATTGCTAATGGTGGTACCATAAAGCAGTGACATAAATGTCTTGCAGACTTTAACCCATGAGATCGGACACATTTTTGGACTGCGACACTGCCAGTGGCTTGCCTGCTTAATGCAAGGCTCCAATCACTTGGAAGAATCTGATCGGCGGCCTCTCAACCTTTGCCCTATCTGCTTACGCAAGCTGCAGGTTGCTATTGGCTTCAGTGTTGTAGAGAGATACAGAGTAAGTGGGGGCCTGCGAAGGTAAGGGAAGTGGTGAGCTAGTAGTGAACGGTGTTTGCTCTAGGTCTCGGAGAGCTATGATTTATCAGGAAATTAGGTAAAGATAAGCAGGAAACTGTGGTTTAAAAAAAAATGTAAAGAGGGCAGGCAAGATGACTCAGTGGGTAGATCCTTTGCTGCCTCGCCACGAAAGCATGAGGACCAGTGTCTGGGTCCCTAGAACCCACATAAGTGCCCACCCGTAATCCCAGTGCATGGGATGTGGAAACAGACTCCTAGAGGAAACTAGTTAGCCAGACTAGCAGACCAGCAAGCTTTGGGTTCATCGAGAGACCCTGCTTCCGTGCATAAGGAAAAGCACCTGAGGTCAACCTTGAGTCTACACGTGCACACACTGAACACACACACTGTGTGAAAACCATGCAGAGAAATACCCATTGTAAAACCTTCAGTTCAGGGTGGAAGAGACAGGACAGCTCTCTCAGGGACAGTGCTTCCTCCTCTAACCCCAACAACCCCTGCAGTGTAAAGACAGGAGTCAGTCCCTGGAGCCCTTGATGCGAGGAGTGAACTGACTTCTGCCAGTTCCTCTGGCCTCTCCATTCATGCCATGGCATGTATACCTCCTTCTCAACAATATAAATAAGTTTCAAAAGAGTCAAAAGCTCTTGCATGGTGGCTCACACCTATAATCCAACACTCAGGAAGCTGAGGCAGAAGAATTGCTCTTAATTTGGAGCCAGCCTGGGCTGTAGGTTGAGACTGTCTAAAAAGGAACAAAAAAGAAACTTCAGTTTGGGGCTGAAACGGTGGTTTAAGCATTAAGAGCACCCGCTGTTCTTGCAGAGGACCTGAGTTTGGTTCCCATCCATACAGTGGCTTACAACCACATGGAATTCCGGTTCTAAGGGATCCAACCTCCTCAGAGGGCACCAGGAGTATATGTGGAAGACAAAACACTCCTAAAGATAAGGAGATTTTAATTCGATAATGACTGTCTTTTTTTTTTTTTTTTTTTTTTTAAGATTTATTTATGTATGTGTGTGTCCTCTGAGGCCAGAGGGGCTTGTCTGATTCCATGGAGTTACAGGCATTTGTGAACCACCTGATGTAGGTGCTGGGATCCAAACTTGGGTCCACTGAAAGAACAGTAAATGCTCTTAACTACTGAGCCATCTCTCCATCCCAGATAATGACTGTTTTACACTTAAAATTCAGTGGGAAATGGTAAAAGGAATTTGTCTGTTTCTTGTCCAGTTAGGTCAAGCAGGATTGACTCTACAAAGCAAAATGCATACTGATTTGTGTGGTAGAGCTCACTTTTATAAACATATAACTGACTGTGTAATTGTAATTTTCCAAATACATGACAGACACAGGAGTCTGTTAGAAAAGAATGGATGTCTTTAAGGAGGAAGAGAGACGACTCCTGGTGTCCTTGTGCATACTCCAGTACACATCCCAAGGTTACTCGTGGTCTGCCTGCTCATTCAGGGACAGCACTTGAATGTCTCCATCGTGTCTTCACATACATACGCCTGCCCTTGCCTCAGGGTAGGGTTATGTTTATATGCACATAAGCTAAAAGCACAGCACAGCGCCTTACAGAGTAAACAGATTGAGAAAAGAAATGGTAGTTATCTTGCTGTCCTAAAATAGTGCACACATTAGTATAGTTCTTTTTCCTCTGCATACTTTTTGTTGTTGTGGGGTTTTGTTTGTTTTTTGAGGTGGGGTGGAGTTCCATAATGTAGCCCAGGCTGGTCTGGAATTCACTGTGTAACTCGAGGTGGCTGTGAACTTGTAGCAGTCCTTCTCACTTGTCCTTTCTGAGTGTTGAGATTACAGATGTGCGGAACCACACCCAGCTCCTTGTATATTTACAGTTTTCAGTTATGTTCTCTGTGTTTTTGGTCCATGCTCTTTCACTCAGTGTCACTCATGTCTTGTACTCATAGCCTGCTCCATCAGATGCAGACCTTTCATGGGGGTCACAACCACAGATTGAGAAAACCTGACTCCAATGCCAGTTACTGTGCCTGAGACTGTTCTGCTCTTATCTGTTACAATGCAATGTTTGTGTTTTTCAAGGCACTGCTGAGGTGGATTGACGAGGAATCTAACGACTCGTCACGAGCAACCCCGAGAAAGAGTTCTGACCATGTGAATTTGCAAAAACCCGTGGAAGCCTTTCAGGATTGGAGAGAATGGATAATAAAATGCATTGCTGTTCTGGAAAAATAAGGACTTTGAGATAGGTGTAACTGAAACAAATACCGGCACACTAGGTGTTTGTGGCTAGAGTACTTCATTGGAATAAACCTTCTACTGGTTCTATGCTGAGGCCAGGTAACAGACTAGAAGCTTCTGAAGCCCCTGGACCAGAATAAGGTTGATGAGAACAAGGAAAACCCTCTCTGCCCTTCTCTCCTGTCTCACTAGCCTGCTCTGTGGCAGTGAGCCCATCGCTTCCTTGCTTCAAATTGGATTAGCTGAAGCTAGAAGGTAAATAAATAAACACTTGAAAAATGACTGTGTGGCCCAAGGAATGCATGAACACTTTCCAGGGTTGCTTTTGCTCCGGGAAGAGATGCTGCCCCCTGTGCGGCCCAGCTGAGTCACCAGGGCTGTGACATCTCAGGGGCTGGCATCCGTGCTGCCTGCAGCTTCCCCTTCTGACCTGTGGGCCCTTCTTTTTTTCCTGGCCACTTATGAGCCTGTCCCTGGAAGAAGCAGCAGCTACGTGAGTTCTTAGCAGTGAGAGCAGCAGTGGTCCTTGCCCACAGCAGCTGTTGATGAGTCATGTCTGATGGCCTTTACGGATGACGTGTAACGGTGCTTGTATCTATGTATTTTGCGCTCATTCTGTAGGGTTAGATGAGATTGAAGTTTATGTTTTATGCACTTTATTGCATTGTGACAGGTTTGAGTAAGGAAGAAAGTGAATGGGTTACTTGCCTGTCAGGATGCCCAGAATGCCTCTGGTCGCCTGTCAGACAATGACATCAGCCACTTGCTGTGGTGATGAGCAGGTTGACAACCTCAGGATCAACAAATCTCTATGATCAATGTATCTTGGAGAACAAGAAACTACTGTTACTTCATGCTAGGGGGCTGGTAGCTGTAGCTAGAGTTTTCCTGCCTGGCCTACAGTCAGGACAAATCTCTGTCACCCGCCAGTCCCACAGCAGCTCAGACCCGACCAAGTAAACACAGAGACTTATATTGGTTACAAACTGTATGGCCGTGGCAGGCTTCTTGCTAACTGTTCTTACAGCTTAAATTAATCCATTTCCATTAATCTATACCTTGTCACATGGCTCGTGGCTTACCGGCATCTTCACATGCTGTTTGTCATCATGGCAGCTGGCAGTGTCTCTCTGACTCAGCCTTCCACTTCCCAGCTTTATTCTCCTCCTTGTCCCGCCTATACTTCCTGCCTGGCCACTGGCCAATCAGTGTTTTATTTATTGACCAATCAGCAACACACTTGCCATACAGACCATCCCACAGCAGGTAGCTTGTCCTACTTTATCACCTATTTGTAGTATTGGTTTTTGTTTGTTTTGTTTTGTTGTTTTTCTCTGAGACAGGGTCTCTCTATCTACCCCTGGCTGGCCTGGAACTTGATATATAGACAAGGCTAGCTTTGAACTCATAGAGATCCCGTGCCTCTGCCTCCCAAGAGCTGGGATTGAAAGGTGTGTGCCACCACACCTGGTAATGCTGGGACTTGACCCAGGGCTTTGTGCAGCACGCTTAGCACTCTACAGTTGAGTGACATCCCCAGTGCCCAGTTTCCCACTTTCCTATCTTTAAGGTAAGACTTGAATTCCTTCCTTCCTCTGTCTTTGATTTTCTTTTTCTTCTTTTCAGATGATGAGGTGGGGGCCGGGGTGAAGGACGACTGTAGGTATCATTCCTCAGGCTGTCCAGTGAACCCAGGGATCTACCTGCCTGTTCCTCACCTCCCCTGCCCTCCATGGGTGCTGGGTATCCCACTTGGGCCTCTGCCTCCATGGCAATCACCTTACCGACTGAGCTGCTTCCAGCTCTGTTTTTCCACTTGGAATCTAAATTCTTCCATTGTTGTAACTTACACAGTGTCATTAAAAGCACGCTTGACAACCAAACCAGTGGTTTTCCTCAGATTCGCTTTCAGGTTAAACTCCTTTAAGTCAGTTCTGAAAATAGCAGCCGTCACTGGCATCAGCTGGAGACTGTTCATGGTTGTTCCAACACTGAAAAGAAGCCAGATGGGTTTCACAGGTCTTGCATATGAAGTTTAATTCTTCCTTGAATAATTAATTATCCTCCATTCTTCTACATTTTCTTTAATTTTTCTACCAGGTAAATGCAGTTCTCCAGTGGGTCAACATTAGTCATAAACCTAGAATGGAGATTTGCCTAGGTTAAAAGATTGGGAATTACAATGATCTGGACGAGATAAAAAGGTCCATCTTAGCCTACTCTGCCAAGGAGCCAGGAAGAAGAACTTTTGGAAGAAATTACTGTTGATGAAAATGGGACTGAACTAAAAGTCACACAACAAACATTTATTAAGCAATCTTCATTTGAGTGCTGTTATAACACATTAGATTGTATACACTTTTGGAGAATTTTAGGATTAACTTTATGATTTGGGGACTGGTGAGCGGGCTCAGCAGGTGAGGGCACCTGCCATCAAGCCTGAGGACTTGGGTCTGATTTCTGGGACCCACATGATCGAAGGAGAGGGTTAGCTGTCCCAAGTTGTCCTCTGACTCAGTGCGTGCTGTAGCATATGTGCACCCAATAAAAATGGAGAGATACACACAGATTGAGGAATGTGTGTAATTTACTGTTCCTGGAGCTCAGTGGTAGTTTTTTGGTTTTGTTTTTCCCCCTAGCAAGCATACGCTCTACCCTAGCCAGGACTTCAAGCAGGTTTTGCTCTGCACATGCTAAATAAACATGAAGTTAAATTACTGATGAAAATAATTTCCCAATGTCTAAATACTGCCTTAGAAATAAGTGAGTTTGCAAACGTTTTATGTCATCTGTCCTATTCTTTGATTTCAACACTTATACCCTCAAAGGATATTTTATACACACACACACACACACACACACACACACACACACACACACACACACACACACCCATCAAGCAATGGATCAAACGTTGACATTTCAGTCCACAAAAACTTAATAGGACAGCCGAGCAGGAGAAATGGGCAAGGATTTTGGTCCAGTTTGTACTTACTCCTTTATGATTTCATTCCTATTGGTTCTGTGGGACCAAGTCTCAGGATGTAGTTCAGGCTGGCCTTGATCTGGCGTCCTTCTGCCTCAGAACCTCTCCAGGGCTGGCATCACAAGCGTGCCCCAGGCTTGCTTTTCGAAGCAAACATTTCCTTGACACAGGGCTATGACTCATCCCAAACCCCTGGAGGAACAGAGGCCCGGATTGTTGGTTGTTTCCTCTCCGAAGCCCCAGTGATAAAATCCAAGCAGGCAGCGGGCGGGACTGCTATAGCCGTCGATCAGGCCCTTCCCCGGCAGGAAGCGCGTCGCTGTCTCCAGCTGTGCCCAGAGCCATCCCTCCGCGGACAGCTGGTGGCCGGCGACACCTGTGACCGCCCCCGGAGGAGAGTGGAGCCGGCAGCTTGGCCTGCAGGGCAGCGTCAGGAACCCAGGTAAACCACTACACCCTGGCACACAGCACTTCGGGGAGGCCCCGGCCACCCGACTCCCACAACCCGGCCTTGGATGGTCTGGATGCCATGGCACCTGAATCGTGGGTGGAATCAGTTCTACTTCAGAGCTCTTGCAAGGCTCTTCTGCCAAGAGCTTGAATATCCGGTTGGGGGTGTTGCCCAGTGGTAATCCTCCTGCATACAAATTCATGGGTTCATTCCCCCAGCACCGCCAAAACAACAAACAACAACAGCAACAAAAACCAATGAGTGTTAGTCACCTTCTGGATTCTTTTCTCTGGAGCGACTCTGTCCCATAGAAAACCACCACAAGCCACACACGTAATTTTAAGTTGTCCAGTAGACCTTCTGACAAACGGAAAAAGAAACATTTATTCCGGTGCCACCAAAATGCCATCTCAACACGTAATCACTGTAGGGGTTGAGAGAGATTTTGTACTCGTTTGCTGACCAAGTCTTCTAAAACCTCATCTGCCTTCTCAACTCTGGCTGGCTGCCCCATGTGATTGTGGTACTGTGTTGGACAGCGTAGCAGCTCTGGACTGATGCTACCCCAGAGTCTACCTGGGAAGATGTACGTTTAAGACCCAGGCAGCGGTAGACCGAGGCTGAGCTAGGGACCATGCCGTGCAGGTCCGGGTGCTGCAGCTGAATGCGGCACAGGAGGGTCTCTGCCTCACAGTCCAGGTGGCACTCATGAGAAATTTTCCCTCCATCTCTTTCCCTTCCTTCCTTCCTTCCTTCCTTCCTTCCTTCCTTCCTTCCTTCCTTCCTTCCTTCCTTCCTCCCTCCCTCCCTCCCTCCCTCCCTCCCTCCCTCCCTCCCTTCCTTCCTTCCTTCCTGATTTTGTTTGAGATGGGGTCTCACCATGTAGCCTAGAACTGGACTCAAACTCACTATGGAGCCCTAAGCTGGCCTCAAACTTATGCCAGTCCTCCTGCCTTAACCCCCTAGAACTGGGATCGCTGGCATTCACTACCGTTCCTGACTTGTAGATTTTTTTTAGACCTTCCTCTCATTGCCAAGGGCCTGAGGGATATATTTCAGTTTGGGAAAGCAGAGTTGTGAAGTTATACATGAGAGATTGTTTAGTCTTAAACTGTGGATAGTAACCCCACGTGGGCTCCTATAACTGAGTGTTGGGAGTACAAAAAAATTGGTGACTAAGAAAGGTTTCCAGATGTGCAATTAGGACTGGAGAGATGGCTCATTGGTTAGGAGCCATCTCTCAACTATCTGTAACTCCAGTTCCAGGGCTTCCACTGCCCTATTCTGTCCTCTGTGGTTACTGCATGCGTGTGTTACACATAAACAGATGCAGGCAAAATACTAATACACTTAAAAATATCTTTAGAAGTGCAATGACCAAAAATGAATTAAAAATCAAATGTATATGAGGTGTTCCTGTCAGGGCAAATCTGTGTCACACTGCAGATTCACTGCATCCCTGAGTCTGAGCATACAGCACACACGCTGCACATGGCATCATATCACACATCTCCAGTGAAAAATGTCCCAAATTCCTCAGCTGAGATCCCAGACTATCCTATGTAAAAGTTGCTGTATTTTAGTATGTATACAAGGTCTTCTGCTCCAATAGAAACATTATGGTTTAATTGTAGAAAACATTTAATATTTTTCTATAGTCATTCATCAGCATGTATCATTAGTATAGTTTAGATTTTCTTATGTTAAACGTTTCCTTCTAGAAGTTTGTATTTGAGTTGCTGATTTCAGTTTCATTCAAACAAAATTCATACGATGAATTTGGCTTGAGATCAGGACAGAATTTCTAACAACTTCTCAAGTTGCCCTGAATATATGTCTACCACTTTGTGCTGTGCTTTTATGAGAAGAGGCATTTTTGGCACTGAAGATTTAAAACAATCAAATACATGAGCTGTGGAAGATGTTAAAGATGCTGTGTGTCTTGCATTATCAGACACTGAGCCATGATTTAATCCCCCACAAGTGTGTGTGTGTGTGTGTGTGTGTGTGTGTGTGTGTATCCTGAGGATCAAACTCAGGCCTTTATGCATGGTGCTCTACCACAGCTCCACCCCTAGTCCAAAAGTTAATTCTTTATGTAAAAAGAAACAACTATATCCATCTCATTAGGATTCAAGTTTGCTTTAATCTTTAAGAAATGTTTTTAGGCAGGCGAATCCCCGCTTGCGGAGGGTGCCGAGGCAGGGGCTGTCAGGCAAAGTGCTCGGGCTGCGGTCCAGGCCACCCCCTCCCCGCCAAAGCCATGACTTCTAAACTCCTGCGCGCAGTCATCCTCGGGCCGCCCAGCTCGGGTAAGGGCACCGCATGCCAGAGGATCGCCCAGAACTTTGGCCTCCAGCATCTCTCCAGCGGCCACTTCTTGTGGGAGAACCTCAAGGCCAGCACGGAAGTTGGTGACACGGCAAAGCAGTACCTAGAAAAAGGTCTTTTGGTTCCAGATCATGTGATCACACGCCTAATGGTGTCAGAACTGGAGACCCTGAGCTCCGAACACTGGCTGCTAGACGGGTTCCCGAGGACATTAGTACAGGCAGAAGCCTTGGACAGAATCTGCGATGTGGACCTTGTGGTCAGTTTGAATATTCCTTTTGAGACACTTAAGGATCATCTGAGCCGACGATGGGTCCAGCCTTCTAGCGGGAGAGTCTATAACCTGGACTTCAACCCGCCTCAAGTACAGGGGATTGATGATGTCACTGGTGAGCCACTTGTCCAACAGGAAGATGATAAACCTGAAGCAGTTGCTGCCAGGCTACGATATAAGGATGCGGCGAAACCAGTCATTGAACTGTACAAGAGGCGCGGAGTGTTCCACCAGTTTTCTGGGACGGAGACTAATAAAATATGGCCTTGTGTTTACACACTTTTCTCAAACAAGATCACACCTATTCAATCCAAAGAAGCATACTGAACCTGCCATTGAAAGAACCAAGAACACATGGTCGTTCACTCAATCATGCGTATAGTCCTGGTGCCCTGGCCAAATCAGAAGCTAGCTGAGATAGCGTGCAGCATCTTTTCTAGTTTAAGTGATGAAGTAATGAGGCAAATCTAGTGGGTAGAAAGAATTCATGAAGAAGAAACCCTCCTGCCTTTGAAAAGAAGGCATAGCTCTGCAGGTGCATCACGCCCTTCACGGGAAAGTGAGTACAGACTGGGTTTCCACCAGTGTTGAGCCTACACTAGATGGGTTGACAGCCATGTGCTGCTCTCATAGCCTCTTTGCATGCGATGGTGGAGGAATCTCTGGTTCATGCCACCTTCCACAGGCTGTTGAACCACAGCACTGTAAGCCTGAGAACTTGAAGGGCTGTGGTCCCAGCTTGTCCTCTGCCATACCCTCTTGATGACAATTGAATAGATGCTGACTGTGCTCAGTGACTGCTTCTCCACAGTGACTGTTTCTCCCTCCAATCTTAGACACCCTAGTTTCTGCTGACTGTGTCTTCTCTCGTCTGCTTGCTCCCTCCATAGGCGATTCAGTAACATGATAGTTTCTGCCTTTATCCCTCTAATTTCCCCTTTCTACAAACTGAGAACCAGGGGACTGGATTCAGTCCCTTCATACTGGGATCTGCGCCAGGCAGAAAGCTTACTTGGTTAAACAGCTGCTCTGACTGTCTTGAACCTACTCTGTACCTTTTATTGTTTAAAAAAAAAAAAAAAAAAGATTTCCTAAAGTCTTTGGGAATTCTCAAAAACAAGGGAAATGCTCACTTAAGGAAATGTGGGGTGATCGTATCTTCTACATAGATGTAGTAATCGTATAGAAATCACTGGACTAATGAGATGATTTAGGCTTCTTTAGTCAAGGCAAGATGAATATTGAACATGCTGCTAAATATTAATGCTGACAGTGTTTGAGTTCTGTGAGTGATCCAAGCAGATGGTAAGAAGTCAGTAAAGGGAACAAGCCTGTGGGCTTGGAGTGTCTTGCACTAGATGTACATTGCACCTGCACTGAGAAAGACAGCTTTACCATTATGGGAACGCAGAGTCTTTGTTTTCTTCCGATTCCAAAGATGCAGTCTATAGGTGGCCATAAAGTCCAGAAATGAAGATGCTGATATTTTGTCAATCATCATGTCAATAAAGCATTTGTTAAAAGTCTTTAAAAAAAGAAATATTTTTAGGGGAATTTATGATTTATTACCTTCAAATGTTTGACCTGAATACCTATTTGGTATACTTCCATACCTGGGTCACAAAAATTTCTCAAGCCAAGAAAAGGGGTCACAAGTGGGAAAGTTTAAGATGCCCTGATCTAGTGCATGTGGAGATAAGCCTGTAACGGCCAAGTGAACATGTGACATTTAAACCAGTGGCAAAACTGGACCTGATTCAGGTTGTTCTAAGGTCAAGTTCTGTGTTGATTTCGGATGTGACCTCATGCAAGTAAAATACCAGTGGTGAGAAAACAAGCCACTGGCTTCCAGATTGTTTATAAAGGGGCTTCTGGGGTTAAGCTCTCTTTCAGCTTCCTTTCTAATCCAGAAGGGGCCGTCTGGGGTGGGTGAAGAATCAGAAGAATCAGTCTGTGGAAAAAGAGGTGGTGTGTCGGGGAAGCACTTGCTATTAACTGAGTCATTTAGAAAGGAAACTGGGCTGGTGAGACGGTTCAGTGGGTGAAGGTGCTTGTGGCCAAGCCTGATGTCCTAGGTTTGATCGCTGGGTTATCATCCTCTGGCTTCTGTCTGTGCACTGTACATCACACACACACACACACACACACACACACACACACACACACACACACACACACACACTACATATAGTAATAATAATAATAAAAAAGAACCATCACACACATGAAGTGAATTATGGACTATAAAGATCCCTCAGTGATAGAGTGCATGTCTAACATTTGTGAAGCCCGGGGTTCATCCCCAGCACCACATAAAAGAGGAGAGAGAAAACCAGCCAAGCTGTATTTCATTTGTTTCTCTGCAGTGCTGGAGATTGAGCCCAGGTCTTTCTGTGTGCTAGGAAAGTGTTCTACCACTGAGCAGCACACCCAGATCAATAATTGTACATTGCAAAAATAGCTAGTGGAAAGGACTTGGAATGTTGGCAACACAAAGACTTTATAAAAAATGTCTGGGATGCCGGGTGATGGTTGTACCCACATTCACCCAGCACTCGGGAGGCAGAGGCAATCTGATTTCTGTAAGTTCGAGGCCAGCCTGGTTCTATAGAGCGAGATCAAGGACAGCCAGGGCTACACAGAGAAACCTTGTCTTGAAAAACAACAAAAACAATCAAACAAACAAACAAAAAAGAAATGCCTGGGATGGTAGATATGCCAGTTACTTTGGTTTGACCTCACTGCTTGTTGTATACCATGTACTAAAACATCACACTGTGCTCTGTAACTGTGTACAGTTTCTATGTGTCAGTTAATATCTTCTGGGCTCCAGGCATGGGTGTCCACACCTGTAACCCCAGGATTGGTGAAGCTACAGCTGCCGAATGGTGAATTTAAGGATAGATGGGACTATTATACAGAAAGCTCCAGGTCAGCTTGGGCTACATGGCTGTGGGTAGAAGGTGGGAGGAGGCATACACAGACATAGGAAGCAGACTAAGTTAAAACAAAATGTGCATGAGTAATGTATTAATCTCACAGCCCTCCATTTGCATGCCTACTTAGCGCTCATTTCTTCCATCTGCTGCCTTTAGTCTCTGCTCACGGATCAATCAGTGTTTGGTCCTTACAGCCAACACACTGTATACACTTACTATGTACTCTGTATACACACTCTATACTCTTACTACATACTATATATACTATATGCACTCTGCCGGGTGCTTTGAGCCCCATCTTCAGGCTTTGGAGCAGCCGTGGTTTCTGTGCACCATGCCCTCAGCTCCCTGTGACTCACCGAGCTCTTTGAAGTAGCACCAGACTCTTGAGCTGTCATTGTATATAGATACCAGTTTTCAAAACTTGTGTGACAAAGGAGTTTGTCAGTGAAGAATAGCAAAATACATTCATTTGCGTGTTTAATCTCTTAATATTTTAATACCCGGTGCTATGTGCTAGGACTTGCCAAATCCTTCATGACACATATGGCAGTGAAGAAAAATCTCCCCTAATTTTCTAGACGAAGAGACAGAACCACGGAGTAAATCAGGTCTTTCATAGCTTAGAGTCAGAGCAAAGGCATAGAAGCAAATTCATTTGGACTTGGGGGTTGAGATACGTTCTCATCCAGTCCAAGAAGGCTTGAACTTGCTATAGTCAAGGATGACCTTGAACTCCGGATCCTACATGTATGTGCCACCACATCTGGTTTTATGCAGTAAACGCTGGGCTTCCTGCTTGCTAGATGATCCCTCTACCAATTGAGCTATGTCCCCCAGCCCCAAATATTATTTTGGTTAGGACAGTTAGAAATGAATCCATAAGGCTGGCATTTAGGAATAAGCAAATTAAAAGGATATATCATATGCACATTGAATGGAGGTGTGTACCAGGCACAGACAACCTCGAGTTGAACTGTAAGAACTGACAGGGGCTGGAGAGAAGGCTCAGTGGACACATGGCAGCTCCAGGACCAGAGAATCTGACGCCCTCTTCTGGCCTCTGCAGGCACTGCATGCCTGTGATGCACAGACAAACAAGCAGGCCAAACACCCATAGGGGTAGGGGGATCAGTTAGAGGTCAGCGGAGTTGGACCAAGGGGGAAAGTGATAGCGTCATGTGGTTCCTCTTGGGTCCATACTTGAAGAGCTGTGGTTGGTTGTGCTTTATCACCACCGCTGCTATGTGGGAATTTCAGGAGGTGTCAGCGTGTAGCAGGAAGATTATTGCTGTAATACAGTTGTGATATTAGCTTGTATCAAAGAGAGAAACAGAGATGAGAATACAGTCAGATCCTGGATATATTTAGAAAGTAGAGACAGGTGTCAGGGCACAAGCCTATAATCCCAGCACTTAAGAGATGGAGGCAGGAGGATCAGTTCAAGGTCATCCTTGCTATGTAGTTTGAAGCTAGCCTAAGCTACATGGGCCTTGTCTCAATAACACCCCCCTCCCCCGAAAAAAAGCCAACCAAACAAAAACCCAGCAGTTCTGATGGAGTTTGTAGAGATAGTAAAGGTCAGTGTAGTTTTAGTAGAAGAAGGGCCAGAGCGCACTGTGGTCAATGTGAGGCTGGAGTTCAGCAGCAAAGACAAGTCTAAGGATGGAGTGGTCAGGGGAGAGGAGGGACATTGTGTTTGAGTCTAAGGAAGTAAGTTGCTAAGGCCCTTACCGTGTTTGTCTTCCCGAGTGAGGCAAATAAATGACACAGCTGTGTGGTCCACGTTGCGGTTCACTCTCAGTGATCTTCGGTGATGAGTTCTGGAACAGCAGACTTGCTGTCTGATTTCCCCTCCGAGGAAGCCGTAAGCACCGAAGTAATTCCTATTTGGTTTTTAATTTGTCGTTTTTTGCGTGAAAACCCAAACTGCTCATTCCGGACACTGTTTTTGTCTTGTGCCTTTAGAAGCATTATAAAAATGAACACCAGGGGGACCTAGTCTCTGGGCCACCTGTTGGACGGGATGGAGCTGGCTTAGAGACTCGCCTGAAGACAAGGACTGCCTACCTCTCTTTTCTCCGTGTTCTGTGTACCTGTAGGAGTGAGTCGTAACATGTCCAAACTGCCTTTAGATAGGCTGGTTTTAATGACTTTAAAACTTCCAAACTATGGCTTCTAAACACTAGATTGCTTATCAGTGAACTCCAAAATGTGGGAGCTTTGGAAAATAAGGATCATACCGGACGTTCTGGCACATGGGAGGTGGAGGCAGGAGGATCAGAAGTCCAAGGTTGTCCTTGGCTGAGGAGTGAGTTCAAGGCTCTCCCTGACAAGTCAGAGAGAGGGGGCAGGAGGAGAGAAAATGAACCGTGATGATTTTGATTTTTAGTTTATTTTGGACAGAGTGTGGAAATTTATGTGTAATTAATATCTCTAGGTGACTTGAATTTAGTCTATTGAAACTCAGACTTAGGGTATGTTTTCTACTCTGTACCAGATATAAATAGATACCCTGAAGCTACGTATTGCTGGAGAATAAAATTGGTAACTTTGTGCGCCGGGAACGTAGCTCAGTTGGTAGAGTGCCTGCTTAGTATGCACCAGGCCCTGGGTTTGATCCCCAACACTCCATAAAACTGGGCACAGCAACCACGTCTATAATCCCAGCACTTCGAATGTGGAAGCGGGAGGATCAGAAGTTTAAGGTCATTCTCTGCTACATAGTCAGTTGCAGGCTAGCCTGGGCTACATAAGATTTTGCTTTTAAAAAAAAGTTAAATTAATAAAAGGTTTGGAAATAGTATATAAAGATATACATTTGCCTCAAGAGGGCATGTGACCTTAACTAGACAGAGGTACACAATCTACATTCATATAGAAGGACACGGTATATATACAAGGACAGAAAGTAATGGGCTGAAAAGAGTCATCATGGAAAATAAAAACCATTAATTAATTAATTAATTAATTAATTAATGTATTGGCAATTGTTTGATCTTGCCTATCTTTGACACCTATGGTCTAAAGATTACTTTGATGAGGGACTGGAGAGATGGATCAGTGGTTAAGAGCACTGGCTGCTCTTCCAGAGGACCCAGGTTCAACTCTGAGCATCCACATGGGAGCTCACAATGTCTGTGACTCCAATTCCAGGGGACCTGACACACTATTCTGGCTTCTCTAGGCACTACATCCAAGCGGTGCACACACACACACATTCAGGCACCCCACTCAGACACATAAATTACAATGAAAAACTTATTTTAATGTGTGTGGGTATTTTGCCTGCATATGTGTCTGTACACCACATCTGTGCCTGTTGCCCTCTGAGGCTGGAAGAGGGCACTGGATTCCCTTGAACTGGAGTTACTGATGGTTGTGAGCTGCCACATGGGTGGTAGGACTTGAACCTGGGTCCTCTGGAAGAGCAGTCAGCCCTCTTAATTGCTGAGCAATCTCTCTAGTACCAAAATAATGAGTATTTAGGAAAACGACTTTGATGATCCTGTGCGTGTACATGTTGTAGGGGGGCAGGGGCGGGTACACATTTGTAAAGGTGGGCTCTCCTGTGCCTGAGTGTGTGGATGGCAGAGGTCATGGTTGGGTGCCTTCCTCTATTATTTTTCATCTTATTGTTTTGAGGCAGGGTCTCTCACTGAGTCTGCTTGCTCTTTCAGCTAGACTGGCTGACAGTTGAACCCCACTCCCCCACCTCCAGGGCTGAGGTTGCAGTTGGCTTCTGTGTATGAGCCAGGGGTTCAGCTCAGGACCACCTCCTGTGTAGCTAGCACTTCGCTTATGGAGCCCCAACAACAATCCTTGAAGTTTTTTAGTTTTATTGGTTCATTATTGTTTTCTTTTTTGGCTTTTTATCACTCAATCAATTGCTTTTTTGAGATCTTAGTCTAGCTTAGTAGTTCAGATTGTCCTGGAACTTTTGATGATCTTGCCCCAACCTCCTGAGTGCTGATGTTACAGTTGTGAGCCACACCAGGGACAGCATTATCTTCCCATTGTCAGAACTTAGTTTTCAGAGCTGGGGTGTGTAAACAGAGGCGGGGTTTTCTTTCTCGACCACCTGGTCACAAATAAACACGCAAAAGTTTACATTAATTACAAAATGCTTGGCCATTAGCTCAGGCTTATTATTAACTAGCTCTTGCATTTCAATTAATCCATTTCTATTAATCAATGTATTGCCACATGGTCCTCTGGCATCTTGCTTCTTGGGCAGCTCCTTGAGTCTCTCTCGACTCTGCCCTTCTTCATCTCAGTCCTCAGTTTGATTTTTCCCCTAACCTTATCCTGCCTGGCTGTTGGCCAAGCAGCTTCTTTATTAGCCAATGAGAGTAATGCATATTCACAGCATATGGAAGGACCATCCCACAGCTATGGTGCTGACCCATTGCAGTGACTTGATAGATGGAACAGGGATGGTCTGCAGGCCAGACTGAGTCCACTACATATTCAGTGTTTACTTTTTGTAGGTGATGAGATCCAGAGTGCTCCCCAATAAACTATATCCCCAGTGCTGCCCTTTTGAAAAAAATCACTATGTAGACCAAGCTGTCCTTGATTTCATGATCTTCTTGACTTGTCTCCCAAGTTCTGGAATTAAATTCTCAAGGAATTAAGAAAAATATGTTTTAAAAGTTTCTGAGCATTTTTCTCTGCTTCCTGACTTAAAAAAAAAAAAAAGTTGTAATACTCATGCCTTGAGAATCCTATGTGTCCTGGGATAGCTCAAAGATTTTAGTTTCTGAAATCAGTAAAAAGCACTTCAATACAGAAGAGCACCAAACTCTTTAAATAGAAAGGCATAAATTTATTGTAAGTCCAGAAGTATCGGGATGTCATTCATACAGAACAAATCAGCGATCCCACGTTTTTGTTTTTTCCCTTCCCAGCATTTACCCCCTGCTTGCTGTGTATGCCACTAAGTCGGTACCAGATCTTTCTTTCTTTCTAAGATCTATTTTATTTTCAATTATGTGTACGTGTGTGTGTGTGTGTGTGTGTGTGTGTGTGTGAGAGAGAGAGAGAGAGAGACAGAGAGAGAGAGAGAGAGAGAGAGAGAGAGAGAGAGAGAGAGTGAGTGCAGGTGCCTGAGGAGTCCAGCAGAGGGTGTCAGCTCCCCCAGAGCTGTAGTAATTGGTAGGTGTAAGCTGCCCCACTTGGGTACTGGGAACTGAATTTAGGTCCTCTGCAAGAGTGGTATTGAGCCATCTCTCCACCCCTTCCAATTTGTATTTTATTAGATTGTGAGCGAAAACAATGCCTTAACATTTCCCCCAAACTCAAATATTTCGCATATGATCATTTTTATGAAATTCAGATTTCCAAAACCATGATAAAAATGTTGTTGAAGGCAGCCATGCCCTTTCATTTACAGTCTGTGACTGCTTCGGACCTACAATGGCAAATGAATAGTTTTGGCATAATCTGTGTAATAAGAAAAGCCTCAAGAATTTACTATCTGGATCTTTATGGTAAAAGCTCGCCAGCCCTTGGCTTTGGGTGTCTGCACTGTTTACCTTGAGATTTAGCATTCTGAGCGGGCTTCAGTTGATAGAGTTTAGCATGCTCAAAACCCAGGGTTCAACCTCTACCTAGCCCCATCTAAATCAAGCATGGTGGCTCATGCCTGTAATCCCAGCACTTGGGAGGTAGAGGCAGGAGGATCTGAAGTTTAAGGTGAACCTGGACTACATGAGACCCTGTCTCAAAAAAAAAAAAAAAAAAAAAAAGCAAGGAAGCAAACAAACACACAGAGGGAAACAGAGTTTTGAAAAGTTCTTGGGACTTTCTGGAACTTTCCAATCACTGGCAAAATAGCAGAGATAAATATTCCCTTCAAGTGCATACCCTCAATAGCCTGAATTCCTTTCACTAGACCCCACCTCCCAATAGTGTCATGGCCTCTGGGGTACATTTAATACCACACCATTTTAACATTTTTCTTTTTTGAAGAGGACCATAAGATGTCGCCCTGGCTAGGCTGACCTTGAACTTGCAGCCATCCTCCTGCCACTGACTTCCAAATTCTGGATGTCAGGCATGTACCTCATGCCCAGATGTCTTTATTATGCTTTTAAAAATACATTTTGATTTATCCATGGGGATGGAGACGAACATATGCCTTGGTTTATGTGTGTGAGTGTCAGTGGACAGCTTGTACACGTTGGTTCTCTCTTCCATTATGTGGATTCTGGAGATCAAACTCGGGTTGTTAAGCTCAGCTGAGCAATCTTGCTGGCCCACATGTGCACACACCGGCAAGTGCACAAGTGCACCCATAACACACACACACACACACACACACACACACACACACACACACACACACACACACATGCACCCATATAACACACACACCAAAAAAAAAAAAAAAAGAATTGAAATTCTTTGAGGAATGGGGGCATTTACCTCTTGCATGGAAGAGGATGAAGCAGGAGGATTGCCATGAGTTTGAGGCCAGTCTGGATTATGTAGCAAGTAGTAAACCAGGCAGGTCAAAGTTGAGACTCGGTATGAAGAAGACGAAGGAGGAGGAGGAGGAGGGCAAGAAAGAAGAGAAAGAGGAGGAAGAAGACGGAAAAGTAGAAAAGGAGGAGGAATAATTGGATTCTCAGGTTAAATTATGTTTCAGTTTTTAAATTGATAATATGTTTCTTTTCATGTGATTAGGCTACTTAATTTTTATCTGTCCTGTGGTCCATTATTTAATCCTTTTTCCTTTGAATTATTTTCCAAAGCATTTCAAAATAATTTAGAGGAGTCAATAGAAGATAAGTGGTCAAGCTGGTCATCATGGTGCTCATCTTTAATCCCAGCCAGAGGCCTGCTCTACAAAGCTAGAGTTCCAGGACAGCCAGGGCTGTGTAGGGAGATCCTGTCTCAAAACAACAACAACAAAGAGGTCAGCTGAACGGAGTGTACATGGAGGCGGAGGCAGGGATACAAAGAGTTTGTGACCAGCCTGTGAAACTCTGTCTTAAATAAATAAAAGAACAGTTTTAGTGTTATGCAGAGCATGTTTCAGTGGAGTGCTCAGATACAAATGGGACATCTATACCACCTCCCTCCCCCAGCCAGGGCTCAGGGACTCTCGGAAGAGGAGCTGAGAAGACTGTAAGAGCCGGGGCTCAGGGACTCTCGGAAGAGGAGCTGAGAAGACTGTAAGAGCCGGGGCTCAGGGAGAACCAGAGCAAGGCCAGTCTTCTGACCTGTTGTGAACTCATAGTGGCTGTCACCTGCACGAGAGCGAGCTGGACAACATTCCAGCACGGATGGGGCGGCCCATGAGTCCCCAACTTAGCTAAGGCACTCTTCAGAGCCTCTGGGAAGGGAGAGTGCCATCGTCTTTAATGGTGTGGACTCTGACAGGTCCACCTTGCTTCACACCCATGACTACACAAACTGGACTCCATGGGTCATAAGGACAACAACAAAAACAAAACCCAGGATGCGAAGTAGGGGTGGGAGGGAGGTGGGAGTGAGTTTGGGAGGAGTTAGGAAGAGGAGCAAGGGTTGAATATGCTGAAAAATACACTGTGCGGGGACTGGAGAGATGGCTCAGCAGTTAAGAGCACTGGCTGCTCTTCCAAAGGAGCCAGGTTCAATTCCGAGCACCCACATGGCAGCTCACACCTGTCTGTAATTCCAGTCCAGGGGATCTGATACCCTCACAGACATACATGCAAACAAAATACAAATAAACATAATCTAAAATTAAATTTAAAAATGTACTCTATGAAATTATCAAAAAATTAAGAAGACTTTTTAAAAAGCTTCTGAGCATTTTTCTCTGCTTCCTGACTATGGATGGAAAAAAAAAAAAAGGTTTCATTGCCTCGAGAATCCTGTGTCCTGAGGTAGTGCAAAGATTTTACAGTTTCTGAAATCACTTCAATACAGAAGAGCATCGGACTGTTTAAATAAAAAGCCAAAATTTATTGTAAATCTAGAAGTACCAGAATGTGACTCACACAGAACAAATCAGTGATCCTGTGTTTTTCTTTTTTTTCCCCCCTTCCCAACATTTACACTTCTGATTGTTGACATACTGAAATTGGCATACATTTTCTTGTCTCATGCAGTAAACAGAATAAACTTGGAGTTGATTCCTCAGAAATCAGTTATAAATATTAAATCGTATTGAACATTCGTAGTACAAAATAGGTTGTAAAGTGCAGAAGTCACATACGTCTGCAAAACTGCCCCCAAGCTTAAAGCGTTTCTCGGGGCAGCCCCACAGAGCTTTGCTACATCCATCTTGTTTAAGGTGTGTCGTGTCTTTGGACAGACACTTTGTCGAGTCACTCGGCCTCCCCAGAGTTTTACAGATTGTCCTAGTCTATGGCTGAGAAGAAGATGCTGTATCAAAGGAGGCCGGTGGTGACGGACTATGCCACTTTCATCTGAGTGCAGAGAAAGATTCAAGCTTGTATGTACCTGTAACCAAACTAGGCTTGTTCTATGTTCCCCCTGAGTTGTCTTGAACAGTAAAGATGAGGAAATATTGAGCAGCTAGCACCGGCCACCCAGTCGGGGAGATGCAGTTGAACAGGCCAGGAGGCAGCACCCCCCCCCCCCCCCAACCAACACACTGCCCCCTTTACAGAGACCTGCTAGATTGCAGAACACACTATACACACACGTAGTGGAACTTGCCAACAACAGTGACCAGGTACCTGGTACCCATGGCAACTTAGGACAGTCAAGTGCTATGGAGGATGTAAATTGCCACTTGTAACTCGTGATAGTGACAGAAACGTTTCTCTCACTTCAGATGAAATGAAGAAATGATTCAACAGTTAAAGATTGAACAACAACAACAACAACCACTGGAAATGTTCCAACAATTCAATGAGCTATAATTCTGATCAAAGAAGATCCTCAAGTATTCTTAGGTGATAATTTAAAAACAGAGACGATTTGCCATCCATTATTTCCCCCCCTCCCCTTTAAATAGCCCACGTTGCATTTAACAACACCAAAGAATCATTACAGCTCGGGCTGTCAGGAGATTGTTATGAGACAAGAAAACCTCTCTGAAGCGTATAAAGAGCTGCAGAAAGGAAGTTAAAGAAAAAACAAAACAACAACAACAAAAAGCTCTGTAGCCAGGCGGTGGTGGCACACACCTTTGATCCCAGCACTCCTTTGAGTTCAAAGCCAGCCTGGTCTGGAGCTAGTTCCAGGACAGCCAGGGCTTCACAGAGAAACCCTGTCTTGTGAAACCAAAAGAAATAAAAATAAAAAAATAATAAAAATAAAATAAAAAATGCTGTGTATATCTCAAATCACCTTTTATGTATTTTGATTGTTAGATTTTTTTTTTATATCTTAAACTTTTTGTGTGTATATGTATGTGGGCGCATGCATGTCACAGCACATGTGTGGACGTCAGAGGGCGACTCTTGAAGTTGGCGCTCTCCTTCTACCACGTGGGTTCCAGGGATTGAACTCGGGTCGTGAATCTTGGCGGCAAGCCCCTTTACCCACTGAGCCATCTCACTGGCCCTTCTTTAGATCATTCTAATCAACCCAGAATAACTTAATAATAAATAGAGGTTTAAATTAAAGACACTACAGTCACTTATTTCTTGAACTATGAAAAACAATAGGAAACATGAATGCAATTTAACCTTTCTATTGAAATACTTGTGGTGATGGCTGGCCACAAAGAGAAGTAGTAATCTTTGAAGTTCAAGTTGTTATATGCTTTTAATTTTTTTGCATATTAATCAAATGCTTAGCTTTAAAGCATTGCTTTCTTTCCATGCAATATTTAGAAAACTCAGAAGCCATAATTTGTCAATTTAAACTTTAGTAATTTTTCAGATTATTTAAAAAATAATTTACCTGTATTTCTGAAAATTAACAACTTTTTTTAATGATTCAAGATTTTTTTTTTTGAACAGCCAATTCATTTCCATGACTTGGGCTGGATGCCACTTTATAAAATAGTAACTTACACGCGTGAGTACTTTTAACACCAATTTGCCAATCCGTGGCATTGTTTGTGCCGGGATGTGAACCAGTGTTCTTGCACCCAGCTTTGTATTGCTACTGAATAGGGCTGGATTCCTGTACCGAAAAGTGTTTGGTTGTTTTGGTTTTGGCTTAAAGAGCAAGCAAAAGGGACTTAAGAGAAAGGGAAAGGTGTTGGTGCTGCTGTTCACACATGCATTCCCTTTATTCAGTTTTGAAGGTGGGGTCCAGTGGTCGGCACCTGCCCCAGGGACTCTTTTCCCAGGCCACAGAGAAGCTATGACATGAAAGTGTGTCACACTGGATCCACTTTCATATGAACCCTGTGCTCACATTTCCCAAGATCCATTTCCAGAAAGTCTTCTGGTATGTCCTGTAACGCCTTCCTGTGAGGGCTGTCTGTCTGGTTTTCACCTGAATGAGGATGCTGGCACAGGCCCTTTTTACAGGGTCTCACCAGGGCGAGGCACACAGCAGCCATGAACATGCCCGCTGCGCAGGAGTAGAAGGCCCGGCTGTAGATCTTGCTCTGGTCCACCAGGAGGCCTGGAAGAAAGCATTGGCACTGTTAGTGACAGCACTTGCCACAGCACACCCTCTACCCAGGCTCCTGCCCAATCCAAAACCTTCTCCATCTCTTATTATTTTATTAATTTATTGAGGCAAGGTCTCACAAGAAGCCCAAACTGCCCTGAAATTCTCTATGCTGTTAACCTGGCCTCAGACTCACAGCCATGGTCATATGGTGAACCAGTGACTTTAGGCCAGAGTAGAACCTGTGTCTGCAAGTCTAAGCCTCCCATGTGTTTTCTGTTATCTTGCCTTGTCTAAGGCTAGAGGGGAATCAAGGGCGTTAGAACCTTATTGCCATCTGACTTTTGGGTTACTGGAACTACAGGACCACTGTGAGTTGTTTTCACTTTTTTCCAGACAGGGTCTCTCTGTACAACCCAGGGGACCTGGAACTCACTGTGTAGGCCAGCCTCCCCTCAGTCTTATGATGGTCCTGCCTTGGCTTCCCGAGTACTGGAATTATAGGTGTCCACCACCATGCCCAGCTCTTTTTCCCTTCTTAAGAAAGGTATTTAGGAGGCCGGAGAGATGGCTCAGAGAGTAAGAGCACTGGCTGCTCTTCCAGAGGACCTGGGTTCAATCCCCAGCCCCCACATGGTAGCTCACAACTGTCTGTAACTCCAGTCCCAGGACATACAGTACTACTTCTGCCTCCATAGACATTGCATGCATGTGGTACACATATATATATTCAGACAACACCAGTGCACATAGAATAAAAATGACCACTGCCTTAAATTTTAAGGCTTTTTAGTTTCTTCCTTTTTAAAACCAAGAGGGTTAACTATTATTATCTCTAGCCCAGGAAAACTAAAATTCAACTCAAGTATAAAACTGGAAGTAGACTTTACAATCAGTCCCATAAAGAAGCCAGCACAACCGGCAAGATTAAGGTAGGCAGGTTTGTATTCTGTGTTCTTAAAGTAGGTGGCACAGGCCATTGAGATGGTTCACTGGGTAAAAGGTGCTTGCTGCCAAGCTGACAGCCTGAGCTCAATCCCTGGAACCCACACATGGTGGAAGGAGAAAACTGACTCTCCCCATAAGTTGTCCTCTGACCTCCACATGCACACTATGGCACATGTACACCCATGAGTAAATGGCACATGCACACCCACAAATAAATAAGGAAAAAGCAATTTAATTACCTGCCAAGGGTGGTCCCGCCAGCCCTGAAATGCTCTGAATGAAGACATAGACTCCAGCTGCAGATGACATCCTCTCGATTCCAACGACGTCATCCTCGGCCAACAGTGGGATGTGGGTCCCTCCTATGGTCCCAACCATAGTGCCAAAAAACACACTACATAACATGAGACCCCAGAATTCAGTAGCAAAAGTGAAGGCGAAGAGAGAGACTGTCAGTAAAATGACACATATGAGTTCAATGTAGATCTTCCGAATGGGCTCTCTGTTGAGGACAAAGCCAGCCCCGATCCTTCCGAACACTTCAGCAATGGCCATCGTAGATAGTAAAAATGCAGCGCGGTCGCGGTCAATGCCTAGACTAATACCCAAGGGGATGATGTACAGGGAAGGTGCAAAGAAGCCCAGTGTGGCGAAGAGGCCAAACAATGCGTAACAGATGAAGCTTTTGTCTTTCAAAATGGAGAAGTCTAACAGCGGGGTTTTCTTCGGGCTGTGCTTGGGACCAACCACCAGGGTCTGGTGCTGTTCAGCTCTGGCTTCCTGCTCCGTATTAGCTTGATTAGGCACATTTTTTGGTGAGGTAGTTAGTTCTACTCCTGAGTCGATGGAGTCTATTGAGGTTCTTGTTTTCTCATTTTCAAGCATGTATTGCACTTCTCTCCGGGGTTCGTGGGTGATTGTTTTCGGTGACTCTGGTCCTTTGATAATGATTGGTCTTAGCAAGGCGCCGCAGACCATGATGTTCAGTTGCAGTAGGCCCACGAAGAGGAGGCTGTACCGCCAGCCAATGTGTTCCTTCAGAGCTGTGATGGCTTGAAGGGAAGAAGCAAAGAAAGGGAAATCCAAGGTCAATAACGGACTCCAGATCCAGCAGACAATAGCCAGGGGGAAGATGGAGAAAATCTAGTAACAAATTTTGCTCAAAGTTAGGGTGAATGCAGTCATTCTAGACTATACTTTGGGTGGGGGATGGGGAGCGATAAGTGTGTGCTTGCCTGTGGAGGTCAGAGGCCAATGCTGGGTGTCTTTCTCCATTGTTCTGTCTTTTTTTTTTTTTTTTTTTAAATTCAGTGATATGGATTAAGTTTAAAGCTTTTCTACCACTGAGCTACAATCCTGGCCTCTTTACTCTTGGAGACAGACTCTTATTGAATCTGGAATTCGGCAAGACTGGTTGATCCCAGGGATCCCTCTGTCTCTATCTCCCCAGTGCTGTGAATACAGGCATGTGCCACCACACCCAGCATTTTACGGGGCTGCTGGGGATCCAAACCCAGAGTCTTATGCTTACACTGCATGGAGACGTCCCCAGCCCTGTAGACTCTCCTTTATTCTGGTGCATTTTATGAATGGATAAGAAAATATGCACACTTATTATCAGAAATGCTATAAAAACTGTCAGCCTAGTTTTCCCAAAGCTTTGGACAGTGGGTTTTTCAGGTAGAAGCCTGATAAGGAGGATATGTCTGCAACCTACATTAAGGTTCAACAAATGATAGCCCACAGGCCAAATCTGACCCACTGTCTGTTTTTGTTAATAAACCTGGGCTGGAATTGAACCATGTTTGTGCACTCACATAGTCTGTGGATGCTTTGTGCTGAGACAGCAGAACTGAGTAGTTCTAACACACTTATATCTATAGTTCCCAAAGCTGAACGTACCTCCAAGGCTGAGGATTTATCTTTGTGGTAGAGCACTTGCATGCAGGAGGCCCTGGGATCTACCCCTCAGGTACCACAAAGATAAAGTAAGGTTTTTGTTTTGTTTTGTTTTATTTCTAGCTGACCTTTTGTAAACATAATTTATCCAACTCTGAACTGCACCACTATACATCCTTTGCACTCCATCTTTGTAGTGATGAAGTAAATAAAAAAATAAAATAAGAGGCAGTTGCCAAGACCCTCGCTGTGAAGCCTGCCTGCTTTTCTGGGTTCTAACTCAAAAGCCTAACATTTCCTGTCTCTTTTTTAGATACCAAATTCCAAAGCATGCCTACCCTGACCCTCTGAGCTTTCTCACTGGTTCCCCATGGCTGTCTACCCTTTCTACAGACGTTTGCAGACCTCCATTGTGGATCCTGACTCCAAAGACAGGCTTCCTCGCTCATCCTGGCATTCAGGGGCGCAGTGCTGCCGCTGTTCTCCCTGATCACATCCTTAGCGACCTGGACTGTGCCCGCCTCCCTCACTGTGAACCCAGGGCAGAGGCTGCTGACCAGAAGCAGCTGGGAGGGAGAGGGTCAAAGGTGGGCGTGAGTCTCCATCACCACAATGAAACTGGACAAGCTCTCCCCGCAAAAAAACATATTTTTTAGATGTTTATTTATATTTTCTGTGTATGAGAGTCTCTTCCTGAATTTATATCTGTGTGCCACATGCATCCAGTGCTCTCAGAGGCTAGAAGACGACACCAGATCCCCCAGGACTGGAGTTACAGATGGTTGTGAGCCACCATGTGGGTTTGTGGGTGCTGGGAATTGAACCTGGGCCTTCTGTAAGAGCAGTCAGCACTGTTAACCACCAAGGCACCTGTCCAGCGCCTCATGTAACATTACTTAAGTATGAACCAAATGGCAGGAATGGTGCCCAGAGCTAGCTGACAAATACACTGTTTCTACCCCTCAGGGCACTCACAGTCCACTGATTCCTTCTCTTATCAATGTTTCATTTTATTTTTTTAAGAACTGAAACAAAGGGGAAGAATAGCACCCATATGCTCACCTGAATTCAACAATTAACATGATTTCTCTGACTCTCTCTGACTCTCTCTGTCGCTTTCTCTCTCTCTCTCTCTCTCTCTCTCTCTCTCTCTCTATATATATATATATATATATATATATATATATATATATGTATATATATGTGTGTGTGTGTGTGTGTGTGTGTGTGTGTGATAAAGATGATATATATGGGTGAACACACAATTATCTGAACCACCTGAAAAGTTTCAGATATTATAATACTTCACTCCTAATCATTCCTGTTTGCAATCTTGCAACCCACCTGATGCATTCATCAAGGAAGGGCATCGGGCCCAGATGCAGCAGCCCAGGGGTAAAATGCTTGCCCAGCATGCAAAAGGTCCCGAATTTGATCTCTAGTAAGAAGAGGGCAGAACAGGGAACTGGGGAAGAAAGGAGGGGAAAGAAAGGAATTTGGGTCTGGAGGGTTATCTATCTACTACATTACTTTTCTTGTATTTCATGTATGAACATTAAGTTGGGGGAGATAAACCAGGGATAAAGTGTTTACTATGAGATTATTTATACACACATAAGAAAACTGATTTTACTGGCATAATTTAAATCTATTCTGAATATAGCTCTTTTGGAAAGGGAATGATAATAATATGAACAGTCCAAATTACTAAATAATTTAGGGATTATCTTTTCGTGTTTCAAGAAAGCCTTACCGCTGATTATGTTCCCGTTTATGTAAACTTGGACTAAGATTAACATGGTGTGAATTCCTAAAATAGAGGAGAGGGAGGATATCCTAAAAATGTGTTGAAGAGAGAGCAAGTGACATCTCATTACGCAGAGTGAGAGTCACCCACACTGTGGGCCGAAGTTAGCACAGCGACAGCACCAGAGTGGCTTCCCTGGTCCCCGCTAATGAGCCACTGTCACTCACCCACCTGGAGCAAAGGCAAACACAGCAAAGCACTCTCCCGTAGACGCGACCGCAGTGACTACCGAACGCCTTTTGTCAAAGTACTGTGACAGAATGGTGACGGTCGGGAGGAAGCTAAGGCAGTAGCCTAGACCTGCGGGTGAAAATCAGAAGGGCCGGTGAGAGACGTAAGCGCTCTGAGCCTGGAGGGCACGGTCAGCGGGCAGGGGGCGCTGTGCAAGTTGTAAGTTCCAGGAGCCAACCCATTCATTCTGCAGAAAAACGATGGATTTCATCTCAGGCCTGAAGGGCGGTGGATGTAGTTCAGTTGATAGAGTGCTTGCCCAGCATGCATGAAGCCCTGGGTTCAGTCCCCAGTACCAGGTAAACCTGGGTATGGTAATGCACACCTGTAACCTCAGCACTCAGGAAGGTCAGGAGTTCAAGGTTACCTTTGAACTGTTCTCCAGAGCTCCCCAATTCTATACAATTCACAATGGAATCAATCATTAAAAGTAGTTTTTGTACGGTATTTACATTTGAAAACAAATGTCTTTTTCCTTTATTCCTTTGAGACATGTGACTCAGGCTGCTGGCCTCACACGTATGAGCTCCCTCTCTAAGCCTAATCCTCAAGTGCTGAGATTACAAGCATGTGTCATCCTGTCTGGCCAACTTAGTCTTTCGATATGTGCAGAGCTCTAAACAAAATTTAAAACTTGCAAACGGGACATATACACATATATCACTTACCACCAAAGTCTTCTTAGACACCCCAAGACTAAGTCCAGCATACTACTTTCCCCTTACAAAGCTCAGGGTGCTTGGAACCTGAACTGAGAAACGCTGACCTAAGAACTTAAGTCTTGGGTTGTGAAAATGATGCACTTTGGATTCAAACTAGAGAAACTAGAAAAGTTCTCTTTACTATGAGTACATTTTTCTCCCTAAGTCAAACAAAAGTTCTTGGACACTTGAGAATGTATTTCTACATGGTTCACCTGGTTCAAAAAAAAAATCACCGATCTCAGACATAATTAACTTGAAAGAAAAAAAAAAGGGAGAAGAAGAAATACAATTTGGGTCCACTTTTCCCCCTCCCTTCTTCAAGTGAAGCACGCAGAGACCTTCCGAGCCAAGGAGAGGGACACACTCACCCGAGATGACCCCGATGGAGATGTACATGTGGTAGACCCTCTGGGAGAAGGAGGCGGCAACCATTCCCGTGCTGATAAGCAACCCTCCTGCCATCACCACCAGCCGATGTCCAAAGTGGTTGCTCAGCACTGTGGAGAGGGGAGCTGGGGGAGAAGGGGACAGAAGGTGACCCGCGAACTTGGGCTCTGTGCTGGCTTCGCTGCGACCCCTCCCTGCAAGCTGTGAACCTGAAGGGCTGAGTTAAGAACCTAGTGTGCTCCGTGGGTCAGGCCAGAGGCCGTCGTTTCAGCATTTGTTCCCACTTTAAAACACAAAGGGTCAGGCCTGGTGGTACAACAGTGCCATCTCAGCTGCTTAAGAAGCTTAGGAAGCAGGAGGATTGAGAGTTCAAGGCCACCCTGGGCAAAAACTTAAAAGCAGGCTGGATGCAGCTCATGGGTAGAGTGGTTGCTACCAGTACCTTAACAACAAAATAACAAGGGTCTGGGGTGTAGCTCAGGCGTAGAGCACTTGGCCAGCACGAGCAAAGCCTGAGATTCAGCATTGATGAGGGTGGGCACACACAGTATATGTTTAGATGGACTGGCTTACCACGCGCAATACAGAGTTACACATGCCTTTACTGTGTTCTGAAGAATACACTGGATGGCCTGTGATGGCTCTAATTGGTTTATTTTCTATCTTCACTGCTTCGGGTTCTTTTAAGAGAATCCCATCTGTGGTCAAAGTCTACTTAGTTTCATTTGACTGTCCGGAAAATACTACAGGATGGAAATCAGGCCAATTCGCAGACGTGTCCACTTAAAAGACGGCAACTAACTTAGAACACAGAAGAATCTTAGTTTGCTTGGCTTCGATACACTCTATCCCCCGGGGACACTGAAATCTAGCAAATTCTTTCCTATTAACATGCTGCTTAACACTGGCAGGCGCACAGTAAGCTATATGAACCATTGAGAGTTGGGTCAAAGAGGAACACATCAGACAGAAGGGAAGGGAAGGAATTAATCTACACATTACCGTTAGTATTCAGAATGTAAACATAATGTAAACGTACACTTTTTTTTTTTTTTTTTGGTTTTTCGAGACAGGGTTTCTCTGTGTAGCTTTGCGCCTCTCCTGGAACTCACTTGGTAGCCCAGGCTGGCCTCGAACTCACAGAGATCCGCCTGGCTCTGCCTCCCGAGTGCTGGGACTAAAGGCGTGCGCCACCACCGCCCGGCCGTACATTTTTAACTTCTATGTATGTATGTGCATGTGTACATAGGTATGTACATATGTATTCCGGAGCACCAATAGCAGCTGGAGGACAGCTTTTGGGATTTGTTTCTCTGCTTCTACCATGTAGGTCTCAGAGATCAAACTCCCATCAGCTCGGAGACAAGCACCTGCAAGCTGACAGTGACAGCTGCTGAAGAAAGCGCTACTACACAGTGAGAGAGATCCTTTCTCAAAAGCAAACAGCAGGACAGAGCAGCCTTTTAGGATGCCCTACGGCTAAAAGGAACTACCCTCAGAGAGTGGCCCTGACTTCAGCAGTGATCACAGGTGACGGTGCACGGCAGGGGGTGAGTCAGGGAAGCCTGGCTGGCTTCTTGAGGTGAGCCCGGCACCCTGTCCTCTCAGGAAAGCCCTGGGGTTGCCTCTCACAGACAGGTGAGCATGAGACGTCAGCATGCGTGTTCCAGTCAGGCCCATCCAAGTGAGAGGGATGTGTTAAGGGTGGCACCAGCCCTTCACCCCCACCTTGTTTTATGCTGCTGGATCTGGGAGTCTTGTGCCGTGATGAATCAGTAAAGTGTTTTAGGGAATGAGATAATGGGACTCTGTGTCTCCTCAGGACAATAGCTGTAATTTTATGAGTAATTTTATGCCTAGCATGTGTGAAGCTTGAGGTTTAGTTTCTAGTAACCCAAAAATAAAGAAAAAAAATACATAAATTATAATCTTATGGGGGAATGTTTGTGGGACTCCCTCCCCCATAAGGAGACCCAAATCCATGGGTGTTCAGGTTTCTTGTGCTGACACAGTATTTGCACATAAGCTAAGCACACCCTCCATGTACTTACATCATCTGCAGATCATTACAACCCAGCATAAGGTAATGGAATGTAAACGCTGGTACACCGTGCTTAGGGTGGAATATGGGCACAAGGAAGACTTTTGGTTGTGCTAACCATGGTAGACCTAATACTGGTCAACAGCCATGTAACGTTTTCAGCCTGGCTGGTTGAATCTGTGACAGAGAGCTGACAGTCTACCCCTTACCATCTCATCTTTCTTCTTCCTGTGTTCACCATGAAATGTTTCTAGTCAGGCTCAGCATGTCGCTGTGAGCCAGAGCCTTAGTTTGCTAAATGAGTTTTTTTTTTTTTAAAGATTTATTTATTTTATGTATATGGTGCTCTATCTGCATTTACAACGTTATGCCAGAAGAGGGCATCAGATCCCATGATACATGGTTATGAGCCACCATGTGGTTGCTGGGAATTGAACTCAGGACCTCTGGAAGAGCAGCCAGTGCTCTTAACTGCTGAGCCGCCTCTCCAGCCCCAAATGAGTTTCTTTTTAAAAACACAGAGGGACTGGAGCAGTGGCTCAGCAATTAAGAGCACCGACACCCTTCCACAGAACTCGGGTTCAATTCCCAGCACCTACACGGTGAATCAAAACCGTCTATAACTCCAGTTCCAGGGAATCCTAGGTCCTCTTCCAGTCTCCTTTTGTCCCAGGCACACCTCGGTACACAGACACACATGCAGGCAAAACACCCTTAACCGTTACAAAGAATGAGATACTCCATGAGTGTGCACATATCTTTGCTCAGGAGCCATGCTAGTCATCCGTGTGGCTCCGTTTTTAGTGCCTAAGGACTTTGGGATGTTGCTTTCTTAGCCAGTAACTACGCCTCATCCTTGGAGAGCCGAGGTTTACCACTGTCTTCAAAGTGCTCTGCAGACTAACTAGCACCATGCACTAGATTACAGATACCTCACTTCTTTTTCTTTTTGTATGGTGCTGGGAATCGAACCAGGGGCCTTACATGTGCTAGGCAAGCATTCTCCCACTGAACTGTACCTCCCAAGCTGCAGACAGTGTGTGTCTAATGGGTGTGTTAGACTAAAGACATTACATTTGGCAACCACGGCCTTTTGTTCGATGTCTCCTAATTCTTGCCGGCCCCCAACCCTCTGAAAACTGCATTCCTTAATTGAGGGTAGACTCCAACAGTATGTTATGAGAGAATGTATCAAAGATCCACTGACTGCTGTCAGGTAGGTGGGCAGATTAAAAGGGCTGGGTAAGCAGGCTAAGTTTGTGCTGGCAGATAAGACTAGTATGTAAATGTTAACACAAATATATTGTTATCACCCACATATTCACCTGTAAATGTTAACACAAACACACACATCGATATTATCTATATACTCACCTGTAAATGTTAACACAAACACACATATTGATATTATCCATGAAATCCTGCTGTTGGATTCATCAAAACTGTCCATTAAGTCATTAAAGAAGACACCAAATGACTTGATGATGCCATAGGTAAAGACTTCAACGAAGAAAAAAGAAACAGCTACTGCCCAGCCCCATCCTCCATCAGGCACTTGGGTATACACATTGGCTTGGGAAGAAAGCTTCGAATTCTGTTGGGTCATTCTTGATCTGAAATTAAAACGAGAAAAAGAAATCAGACCAGCGATATGAGGGCTGACCATTCTCCTCTCTTCTCTTCGTCTTTGTCCCTTTTGTGAGGAGGGGTCTCACGTAGACCAAAACTCACTATGTATGCAAGGATGACCACTCCTGATCATCCTTCCACCTTCCAAACGCTGGGATTAAAGGTCCATGCCACCACACCTAGCTGATTCCAACCATCTTTAGCAAACCTGACAAGATCTATTTATTAAATATTTAAATCATGTAGAGTTAGTATAGTCTTATATAATTTTATATCTATCTTTGAATTATACATGAGACCCACAAAGAATCTGAAAATAAGGCCTTTCTGTTATAATTAAAAGGGAGAAACAATAAACAGACAAAAGGGACCTAAGTAGAATTTGAAGGCCCTTTGAAGGATACAGAAGAAGCACCACCAGAAGAAGCATCGATACTGATGTCCAAGAATATAAATTAGGTAAAGAAAATGAACTGAAGCCAGGCATGGTGGCACACACCTTTAATCCCAGTGCTCAGGAGGCAGAGGCAGGTGGATCTATGAGTTTGAGGCCAGACTGGTCTAAAGATCAAGTTCCAGGATAGCCAGGGCTACACAAAAAAACCTGCCTCAAAACAAAAACAAAAACAAAGAAAGAAAGAAAGAAAGAAAGAAAGAAAGAAAGAAAGAAAAAGAAAGAAAGAAAGAAAGAAAGAAAATGAACTGGCCATGAGGCATGCTGATAGGAAAGGAAGCCAAATGCTGAGAGGATTGTCTGCACCTTCCACGCAACAAGTCCTTGTGGCCTGGACTCCTCATGCATTTCCACTTAGTACCACTGCCCATTCAGTTCATCCAGCCAACCTTCTAGCTCCCATTTTCCCTTCAGTAATCAGCATCCAGATTACTATTTGGTGTCCCACGTAAGAGGTATCTTCCCAGACAGAAGGCAACTCTCTATGAAAACCTAAGCGTTTTCTGAATTTCGGTTCTGTCCCTCAAAGTTGATCACCAGGAGCAAATGAATTTCAGAACGCACGACAAATACTTAACATTGGCCAAAAGAGGCATTACCGACTTGCGAGGCCCTGAGCTGGTCAACATAGCCCGGTTACTCCTGATCTCATTATGACTTTCTCTTCAAACTACAACAGAGTGAGTAGTCCTTGAGTCTTAACACGGCTAAGTAAAAGACACTAATTTAACACTGGAGGGAGCCTGGACCAACTTCTGGTTGCGGAGACAAAATTACCCTGATAAAAGCAATTTAAGGACCGGGCGGTGGTGGCGGCGCACGTCTTTAATCCCAGCACTCGGGAGGCAGAGACAGGTGGATCTCTGTGAGTTCGAGGCCAGCCTGGTCTACACAGTGAGTTCTAGGAAAGGCACAAAGCTACACAGAGAAACCCTGTCTCGAAAAATAAAAACAAAAACAAAAGCAATTTAAGGAAGGGTGGGCTTAAGCTTACAGTTTAAGGATGCCATCCATCGAAGGTGGGGAAGTTGGTGGCTGGAGAGGTGGTCACGCATAGTCCACAAGCAGAAAGCAATGACCCTGCTCAACCTGCGCTCCTTTTTATACAGCCTCAAGAGAGGGCACCGCCCAATTTAAGGAGGGGCTTCCTAGTCAAGTTAGCCTAATCTTTCACAGACAAGTCCAGAAGTTTGTCTCCTGCGGGATTTTAGAGCCTATTGAGTTGATAAGATAAACTATACATCCTGTAAAGCCTCTTCAATTACATTTTTAAACCCAACTAAAAAAGTAGTGTTACCTCTAATGATACATTAATCCATAGTTTTAGAGCTCATATTGATAAATATAAGGACTCTTGCCTGGGCACATACATAACAAGTTCAAGGCTAGTTTGAGCTACATGAGATCCTGTCTCTAAATAAAACACACCACCCTTCACCCTCCCCAAACAAACAACGATAAAGGATTATGATAGTATCATTGTACATCAGTGAATTTTTCAGATTTTTTCAGGATAGTCAGGCTTGGCAGAATGGAGAGCTAACATCTCATTGGCTCCCAGTTCACAAATCTTAAACAGCAACATATCTAACCGAGCTAATTCTCACTCATCCTGTGGATATTCCCCACAGTAGTCTGGTATCTGAAGGCACTAGATCCTCATTTTTTCGAAGCATTTGGCTGAGTGAAACAGGACATAGGCTGTGTTAAAGAGGCCTATGCTCTCTGCAGCTAAGGTCTTTGCCCACTGGACATCATGCCTGAGAATGAATGAAAAGGTAGCAAAGGCTGGGACACAGCTCCAGAATGTAGTCTGGGCAGCTTCAGGACAGTCACTAGTGTCCCGGACATGGAAAGCATTCACCTATGATGGGAGTCAGGAGTCTGCCGGCAAAGGAGGTCTCTACAACACTCCTTCATCAGTCTTTCCAGTCACCCTGAAGACAGGCAGCTGGGGCAGAGGAGTACAAACAGCAGTCAGCTGTGGTTCAGGAGACAACGAAATAAGAGTACTTCCTGGTGTTGGCTTTGGGACAGTGGTTGTCCCTCGGGGAGGGGGGGCCACAGTGGTGGTGAGCCTGCAGCTGTTGAGGCCTTGGCTGTCCTTTGAATCCATCTATTGGACCTTCTCCTTGTGAGGCCCACAGGTTCCTCCTGGCTAAAAAAATGAATCTTTTGGCAACATTGCATTGCTGTGCTCGGGGGTGGAGTGGGGGTGGGGTGGGGTGGGGTGCATGCGTGCGTGTGCTTGTCAATCATTTTGCTCTTTCTGAAGGATAAAACCTACTAATGAGCCTCCATTTCTGTGTGCCTCATAATCAGACCCCAACTGTAACATGAATCTTAAATGGTCTTATTAATAAAAACAAAAACAAAAACTTGGAGCCAGATATTGGGGTGAAAGCTGAAAGATCAGAGAAACAGAACAAGTCACAGCCAACCTCACCTCACCTCACCAACTCCTCAGTGGATCCTGTTTCCCCTGAATCCTCACACTGAAAGCCTGAGTCCTCACCCCTGTGGGTCTCAGTTGAACTGCTGCTTAGTTCCTGTCTCCTCCCACCTTATGTACTGTTCTCCACCCAGCCATGACACTTCCTGGGATTAAAGGCGTGCTGGGATTAAAGGTGTGTGCCACCACTTCCTAGTTTCTAAGTGGCTGGCTCTGTCCTCTGATCCCTAGATAAGTTTATTAGGGTATACAATATATTGAGGTACACAATATATCACCACACCCAACCTATCTTGGTAGCCTTTTTTTTTTTAAAAAAAGATTTATCTATTTATTAATTTAGTATGTATACAGTGCACTGCCTGCATGTATGCCTGCAGGCCAGAAGAGGGCACCAGATCTCATTACAGATGGTTGTGAGCCACCATGTGGCTGCTGGAAATTGAACTTGGAACCTCTGGAAGAGCAGCCAGTGCTCTTAACCTCTCAGCCACCTCTCCAGCCCGGGGCCAGCCTTTTTACTTCTGGTTCTCAAACTTGACTCACCTGCCATGGTCAAGAAGGGTTCCCGGAAGCTCTTGATTTCCAGCTACCTTGCCTTTGGCCATGTCATTTCTTCAAGCTGCACGGTCTCTACAGCTGCTGTGGCAACTCCCACTGCCCTGCTCAGTCTGGTCCTCCTTTTCCATAAGGCTTCCTCTGACAAACTCAACTAAGGTGGTCTCATCTTCATGTGAGAGGAATTATTTACTTTCATGCATTTGTCTTATTTGCTCAATTAGATTATAAGGTCACAAAATCTGATTTTTATGTCTTGAGTATCACCTCACACCTAGCTTTTTTGCAGGGTCTCACTATGTAGCTCTTGTTGTTCTGTCCTAGAACTCACTGTGTAGACCAGGCTGGCCTATGAACTCACAGAGATCCTCTTGCCTCAGTCTCCCGAGTGCTGGGACTAAAGGCATGCGCCGCCGCCGCCGCCGCCACCTGGCCAGAAAGTCTTAGAGTCTTAGTGGAGTCCTCGGGACCACCTTGAACAGAAATATATTAGGATAAAGATCCCAGGGAGACAAGCTGAACCTCTGTCCTGATCAAGATTCTGTATTTTTTTGGATGGAGGGAACCAAGCAGCAGCTGTGGTTTGAGCTGAACTAAAGTTCCCACTGCCATCCGAAGGCTGCGTCCAGACAGCCTCCAAGTTCTGCTTGCAGCTGCTCACGCTACTCTTGAAAAAGCTGGGTGGTGCTAGGATCAACCTACGGCCTCCAAACGAAGTCAGAATTACAGGACGTTGAGGCTGCAAGAGAGTCCACAGTCAGCTTGTTCTCTTCCCCATTGGCAAAACAGGGGAACAGGTCCAGGGAGGTAAAGGGTTTTGGCCCAAACAGTCCAGAATCAGATTGTCCAAGCCCACCGAGCACCAGTCTGAAGGGCCAGGGAGGGGAGTGCTTTCCATGTTCATTGTGAGGAAGTCATTTTTGTCAAAGCACCTCCGTTTCCACGGTCTCCCTTAGCTCAAGGGGTCTCTAAACGGCTATGGCATGGAGGATGACCTTGAACTTCTGACCCTCCTGTGTCTCCAAGACCTCCTAAGTGCTGGGATTGTAGGCATCAGCCATCACTGGGCTTATGTGATACTAGGGACCCAGGGCTTCATGCATGTTAGGCAAGCACTCTAGCAGCTAAGCTGACAAAGCACCCTTAAAAAAAAACCCTTTTTTAAAAATTACATTAGCTTATTTATTCGGGAGGAGTGGGGTGTATTCGTGCCATAGTACACAGGTGGAGGTCAGAGACCAACTTGGGGGAGTTGGTTCTCCCCTTCCACCAGATGGGCTCCTGAGACTGAATTTAGGTTGTCAGTTTCACCCCGAGTCACCTCACCATCCCTAAAGCACTCTTGACCTCCATGTACAGAGAGGTCTTTTTTTATTTTTGTTTTTGTTTTGTTTTGTTTTTCGAGACAGAGTTTCTCTGTGTGGCTTTGGAGTCTTTCTTGGAACTCACTCTGTAGCCCAGGCTGGCCTCGAACTCACAGAGATCCGCCTGGCGCCGCCTCCCGAGTGCTGGGATTAAAGGCGTAAAGGTGTACGCCACCGCTGCCCGGCTGAGAGGTCTTAAACTGTTTAGCCACACAGCTGTGTGACTTGAGGTAGTCAGTTCCCATCTCTGGGCCTGCACTCCTCTTTAATCAAAGGAGAATCGACTGGGGACTCTTTAGGTTGTTTATTGAGACAAGGTCTATCTATGTAGCCCTGGCTGTCCTGGAACTTGATATAGACATAGAGCAGGCTGGCCTTAAACTCATAGTGATCTGCCTGCCTCTACCTCCCAAGTGCTGGGGTTAGCACGCTCTACTAAAGCCAGCGGTGATTGGAGACTCTCTAACATCATCCAGCTTTAACAGCTGACATTTTGTGACTTTAGCATTAAGCTCTATTCATCAGTTGACTTTTCAGGCTGAACCTAGTGGGTGGCCCGAGGACACTGAGCTAAGAGGAAAAGTGCAAACCCTGGAAGGGTCTTGCCCGAGTGGGTGTGAAGCAGCTGGACATTAGATTTGATCTGTGACAGCTGCCCAGAAGACAGTTAACTTCTAGCTTCTGTTTATTTTCTGAGCCCCTGCTGGGCGATCAGTTCCTTTACTAGCACTGTTCTGGCTACAACCAAATATAACTTTCACTTGCATTCATGCTATAGCCCCAGCTAGCTTCTAACTTGCAGCAATCCTCCTGTCTCAGCCTTTCACGTGCTGGGATTAAAATCATAAGCCAGCCATGCCCAACTAATGGAGGTTTAAGGGGAACAAAACTTGCTTCCTTACTCTTGAGATCATCATAAAGGTAAGATGGCCTCCCCAAACCTTCTCCAGAGTTTATTCCTTTCTGAGTCTGGAGCATCCTATGTCCTATTATGGATGGCTGTGAGCTCAGACCACAATGTAGCCTCGTAACAGAGTGGAAGATGATAAGGGCATGTTATATCTAAGATATACAAAAGCTTGGGCACAGCTGGGTGGTGGTGGCGCACACCTTTAATCCTAGTACTCGGGAGGCAGAGCCAGGCGGATCTCTGTGAGTTCGAGGCCAGCCTGGGCTACAGAGTGAGTTCCAGGACAGGAACCAAAAATGCATGGAGAAACCCTGTCTCAAAAAAAAAAAGGAAAGAAAAAGAAAAAAAAAAAGGTTGGGCATGGTAGCATGCTATCTACCATATGGAAAGTGGAGGCATGAGGATAAGGGATTCATGGTCACCTGTGGCTACATGGTAAGTTTGAGCTAGTCTGGGTTGAAGTGAGACCCTAGTTCATTTCAACCCCTACCCAGCGTGGGTGGGGGGAGATTGCATGAGGCAGGCAATCAGCTACTCTTTCCAGACCCCACTGCCTACATAACATTTTGCTAAAAGTTTACTAAACAAAATGGGCATTGTGGACCACTCAGAAGACTGAGGCAGGAGGATTGCCGGCTTCGTTACATAGCAAGACACTGTCTCAAAAAAATTTAAAGTTCAGCCTGGGCTACAATACTGCCTACCTTCTCTCCCCGCCCCCCCAACCCCCCAAAACAAACAAAAACCAAACAAACAAACCTCCCCAAACAAAACAATAAACACTAAAACCCAACAGAAACAAAAACAGCCTGCCTCAAAGTTTACTCAACATAGTAAGTGTCTCTGGGCATCCTCAAAGCAGTGCACAGCTCATGCCTCATAAAAAGGAATCGTAAAATGAGGAAGTGTCTGGTTGCCGAAGAAGCAGTTTTCTCAGCTCTTCTCTCAGTCATGGGTTCAGCAGTTCAGCTAGCTCGACACACTGCCACACTGAGCACGAAGCAGCCGGGGCCGAGTTTCAGCCCGACTACTCAAAAGCCTCTACCAATTACAGACTGCCAAGACGGCCGTCCTGTCCGTTTGGTGTTGCGGTTGTACCTGATAGGAAAGGCCTTGTGGGGATGGGGGTGGGGGTGGGGGTTCTAAATGGCAAGGCTGCTTAAGCAACCTGATTATCTCTGGTGACCATCTCACTTCTTGATTTTCGGTGTTCTCAACCTAACTGAAGTCTGAGTCCAGATCTTTTCTCCTAAGAAGAGGCCGTTCCAAGGATGGCCTTTGACCCTGACTGGCTCTGAGTTACCATCTACAGGGATTCAGGTCTGGGTTTATCTTCTGGAAGCCCTCAGGTAATAGTTCACTACCTGGCAGAAATCTCTTGATCACTAAATTTCATCTGTGAAAGCAGGCTCTATAGTATTTTCCGACTGGAAAGCTCTGGGAGCCTGAGTGAGCTCCTGCTGGCTTTTCCCCAAGACCCCCATGTCCTTTAGAGAAAAAAAAAAAAAAAGGCTGTTGAGAGTATTTCCTAGTATCTTTTTGGTTATCTCAGTGTCTCCTTCAAGAAGGAAAAAGGAGAGAATGTAAAATAAACACGAAGAAGAAAAAATGGAGAGAGGTTCTCTGCTCACAGACCTACAGACGCTGCACTCAGGAAGCCGAGGCAGGAAGTGAGCTATGGGTTTGAAGCCAGGCTCACTTACACAGTGAGTTTCAGGCCAGCTTGGGCTACTGTCTCACAGAAAGGGGTGGGGGAGGCACACCCTAAATAAATTTGGTATCCCACAGGATTTGGAGATAGGTGTCACCTGGGTCTTTCACTGTACTTTAATGTGGTGTTGTAAGGATTTGGCATGAATGCATAAAAATACTGGATTATCATACAGCCTCTGGGGTTGACCTAGGGTCAGTTCTGGTCCAAGTTCAAAAGACAGTCCTGGAAAGCAGGGAGATGGCTGCTGATGTCATCAGAACCAAAGCACTGGGGCTCTCCTTCAAGGTGTAGCCTGGAAGATAAGGCTTCTGACAAGTTGTCTCTAGCCCCTGTTGTCCAGACTAGTCATTTTAAAAAACAAAAATCCCAACTCTAACCTGGTAAGCTGCCTCAGCCAAGTTAAATGAATCACTGGCTACAACCAATTCATCCGTTTTTGCAAGACCATTGAGTTGAAACCCAAGCCCCTAATTTAAGTGTCTTCCTCGGGAGTTCCACCGAGGAAAAGTCCTGTTTCTGGAAACCACAGAAGGAAAACTCGGGGCTAGTGGTACTCATTAAGACCATTTTTCCACTTGGCTGCATTGTTTATTTACGTACTGTCAGTTTCTATCTTAGACGCCCTTCCCTTAATTACCAGAAAAAGGTGTTTCGACGATATTCCCCCCACCCCCCTCCCACAGAGCCACATAATGGTACCATGGGGAGATCTCAGCATAGGATCTGGCATTTTCTTGCAGCCAGACGCTCATCAGTACGGTTTGCAAAAACAGTCAGATCACCGAGGCTGAAATCTCAATCCAAAGGTAAAAACCTCCTTCCGCAAAGGAGCTGGCACGGTGTCTAGCTGTGCAAACAGAACCAGCTTCCAGGTTAACAAGTTGTAATTGTGTTTCCCCAGTTGGATCCCCGGGAGCTTTTTCTACGACCCTCCCCCCACCCTGTGTTTGATGACATTTTACACGCCACCTAACAAACTTCTATCACTTGTCTGCTGAGGTGCCGGGAATGGAAACAACCCAGAAGGAAATTAACCTATTTCCTCTGCAAAATCGTTTCCCCCGCCTGGAGCCGCTCCGCTCAGACACTTGGCTGCCGCTGGTAGCCCCGTGAACCTTGGAAGTTGCGCGGGACCGGGTGGCAGTGGGTGACAGGGCAGACCGTCAAGGTGTGGGACCCACGCTCTGAGGGGAAATCTGTCTCCCCTAGGACGGCCCTGGGGAGTGGGGTAATAGGGGATGGAGACCCGGGGTCCCACTTTGCCTTCCGCTGCCTCAGTGGCCGCCTTGTGCGCGCGCGCGAGCCTGGGGAAGGAAGGTACCTCTCTGACATTTCGCTCTGGTGACGCGCAGGCAACTTCATGTGGAAAATCCACAGAGGGTCTGAGACGGTTGCCGGACTCTCCTCACAGCCTAGGTCCTCTCACCCCGGTTGGGGACGATCAAAGGCCAGGCCACCCTTTAAGGTATTTCCCAGAACCCATCTGTCTAGGGTCAGAGACATTCAACTCTCAGCTGCCCGCAACTGCCCGAGAGCGCGTCACCCCGGTGGCCCCGAGCACTCCCAACTGTCAGAATATTTTTCGGATTAACCTCTTCAAAATGTTCAAATGTTAAAGTGCTTTCCTCTTCCTACCCGCCCTAAAAAAGGCCCCAACACACATATTTAAAAAAAAAAAAAAAAAACCCAACCCAAACCCCACAATCAAACTTTTAAGCATGTAAAATAATAAAAACCAACTCACCAAGTTAGAAGGGAAGAGAATAAACCCCAAAAAGGCTCCCAATAAGGCGGAGGCTGGGCCTCCCGAGCCTTCTTATAAACCGCTCCGTAACATGAGAAAAGGTTTAACCCCTTAGGGCGTGGGCCCGAGTCTCTATCAAGTTGGCTCTGGCCCGGGAGCCTGGAGCACCCTGGCCCCCAACCCACGCCAGCCTCGGCCACCCGGGCCACACCCTCCCCCCGCCCCCCAACCCTGTCGCCTCCTCCCGGGCCGTGCGTGCCGCCGCCCGAGCCCCGGCCCCGCGTCTCTCTGCCTATCTCTTATCCTATACCGGCTGCAGCCGGTCTCCGCCGGCCTCGGGGGCGCGCCGCCGCGGACCATGTGCTGGGAGCGCCGAGCGCCGGCAAGGAGGGGGCCGGCCTGGCGCGCGCGCGCGGGCCCACGTGGATCGGGGCCGCGCAAGGCACGCGCCCCGCCTGCCGGCTGCCGGGGCTGGGGGTCACGGAAGGTAACCGCGCTGCCATCGCGAGTCGCCCATCCCCGCCGACGCCTCTGGGGTCCTTGGCCCGACGCCCTCATCCCCTCATCCGCGCGTGCCCGTGTGATTCCCGGCCCGATCGGACCCCGGCACTTGGCTGCAGTGAGAGCGGGAGCGGGAGCGCGATCGAGCCCGGGGCGATCGAGTGCGCCCCAGCACCCCCTCTCCGAGCGCAGCTCCCGGGTCCGCCCGCGCCCTGACGATCTGGGGAGCCAGTGAGGAGGATGGGGGGCAGGGGAGGCGCGCGTCGGGACTGGTCCCGCGCGTCGCTGGCCCCGGACTGAACAGGTTCCTTCCAGTTTGGGTGTGAGCGGAGCACGCGCGGGCTCCCGAGTTCCTCCTCCAGACACCACTTCCCCCCAAAATTTCGTCAACTCGCGCGCCCCGCGCCAGTTCCCCTTCCGGGCATGGGGAGGGAGTGCCGCAGTGGGCCCCAAGGAGCCCGCTGCTCGGCTGCTGCGGGTGCATTGCCTCCCCCCCAACCCCCGCTCGCGCGCCTTGGCTGCAGCCACAGCAGCCAGCATCCGCGCTGCGCGAAAGGGATGGGAGAAGCATGGCTGAGTCAGCATCCCCCTCTGCTCCGTGCGCGTGCACCTGCCCAGGCGGGAGGCGACACCAGCACAGGTGCAAGACTGCCTTACCCCGGGGGAGGCCTCTGTAGGGGATCGGGATCCCCACATCTCCCAAGCCTCTTGACTCCCAAGGTCACTATGAACTAAATGGTTGCTGCCCGGGAGTTATGAGTTTCTCCTCAGGACAACGTGCGTCTGAGGATTAGGGACAGTTCAGAGCCAGAGGGGGTGCAAAGTTGGTTTCCTGGACTCCATATCACACCTCGAGGGGAATTTTGGGAACTGCTCCACAGCAAAGGCTGTGTTCTCTGCATTTCCCCGCAGACTTCGCCAACCCCTGTTGCTTGGTTGTGGTTCAGAGAATATCTTTATGGTGTTAGAAACTTGAGAGAACCTACTTTGGGAGTGTGCCTGGAGGGTCTCCACAGGGAGGAGCCGCTGGTTCTAAATTTTAATTAAAAACCCTCCCTTGCTCTATGATTTTTTTCCCCTACGATTTGGGAATCTCAGTCATCCAGTGCTGTTAACATCCGGTGTGGGTTAAGTGGAGAGCAGGTGTATTGACGCATAGTGTGTTGTTATGGCCATTCCTGCCAGGTTAGCACTGAATAGTAGCTGGCAAATTTGTAGGAATAAACCCCTCTCCCCACAGGGTCTCCAGGCCGGCCTCAAGCTCATGTTTGAACTCCTCATCCCGTTTTTGTTTTCATTTACTTATTTGTATTTCACGTGCATTGGTATTATGCCATGGGTGTCGGGTCCCCTGGAATTACACAGTGTGAGCTGCCATGTGGGTGCTGGGAGTTGAACTGGGGACCTCTGGAAGAACAGTCAATGCTCTTAACCGCTGAGCCATCTCTCCAGCCCCCTGATCCCATTTGTTTGTTTGTTAGCTTTTTTTTTTTTTTTTTTTTTTTTTTTTTATACACATAATCTCACTAGCTAAGCCAAGACTGGCCTAAAACTGAAGATCCTCCTTTTTCAGCTGCCCAGGCAATGGGGTCACGGGCTTTCATCACGGTTTGTAACGCCTAGGCTCACGCCATCCTTCCGCCTCAACCTGCACAGTAACTGTGACTTCAGGCACAATTCACTCTGCCTGGCTGGAAATGGCATGTTTTTAAGACAGTGTCATGCTATGTAGCTCAGGCTGGTCTCGGGCTTGCAGTCTTCCTGCCTCAGCTTCCCCAGGGCTGAGATTATGGGCCATGACACCTACCTTTTCAACATCTTGACTTTAAAAATTAGACAATGCCTGAAGTCCTAGCGATCAATGAATGATGGACCCGATAATATATCTGGCTGTTGGAGGCGGTAACAACAATAATGTACAGTTATTAATAGTGCACTACTATTTCATTGTAATTATAATTTTTTGATATTTGTGTTGTCTCCAATACTGAATTAAGTGCCATCCATGTGATTTTATTTGTTTGTTTGGATTCTCCCATCCTCCCACAGGGGTTCTCTGTGTAGCCCTGTCTGTCTTGGAATTAGCTTTGTAGACCAGGCTGGCCTCCAATTTACAGAGATCCACCTGCCTCTGCCTCTGGAATGCTGGGATTAAAGGCACGCACCACCATGCCCAGCTTGTTTTTTTGTTTTGTTTTGTTTTGAGATAAAGTCCCACAAGGGTGACTTTGAAATCCTGACCCTCAGAATTCACCTCCCAAGCGCTAGGTCTGCTCCACCATGCTTGCCTCATCCGTGTGTGGTTTGGCCCCATCAGACCTCTGTGAAGGGTAGGCACGATCCCCATTTTAGAGATGAGGCAGGTTGAGGCAAGAGCACTGGTCACATGATATCTGTAGAAACTCCCAGGCCTGGCTTGCGACTAGCACTCCAAAATTGACTTGGACTGTGTGCGTTTGGATAATGGAGAGGTGGCTGGAATCCAGCCTATGCTGCCCACTGGCTGGTGATTTCTGCTAGTGCTGGTTAGAGACTGGCCTCACATCTTTCTCCTCAAACCTTCTGGTCCAGTGAAAAGACGAAAACCTCTGCTTTTCTCACTTCTTCAGGGAAAGTACTGCATCACCATGCTAATCAACACCCCCAAACAAAACTAACTTTGTTTAGTCCTAAATAAGAACAAAGGGACCTTTGCAGTCTCCTGGAGTACAGGACCAAGAAAAATCAGGAAGTTAAGCAAAGAGCCGGGCTGTAGTGTCGGCCTCTGCAGTGGGTCAGTGGGAGTCTGTGGATCAGGCAGAGCCCCCCTGGCTCTTCCTTTGCAGAAGGCAGGGCAGTAAGCGTGTTGTGAAAGAGTCTCTTAGCATCTTCTAGGGAGGAAAACAGCTTCCTCAGAGCTGCCCCCGGCTCCCTTTTTTTCCCTAGCCCTCTTGCTAAGGGTCATTTGCATGAGAACAGATTCCTTTGTGTAGAATTGGCCTGCCTGTTCCCTGTCCACACTTATAGTCCCTCAAGTCTTCGGGTTGGGTTGCTAGGCAGATATGACCCTGGCTTGCAAATAAGCTCACCGCTTTTACCAGCCTGTGAGAACTTCATCTTGGGAAGTAGTCTAAAGGAGTCTCCTCTGGAGTTCAGAGGGAGGGTCCTGCAAGCCTGCTTTGGGCTGCTGGGTCTTCAGGGTAGTCTCAGAAGAGGGGCCGATGTGAGGGAGCTATTAGGGAAGGCCTCAATCCGTCACAGTTCCACTTCCCCTCTTCCTGTCTACATCCCACCCACCTGTCGCCTACCTAAGGGCTTGTGTTCTGCTTGAGTGGCTTAGATCCCATTATCGTTCATTCTTGCTTTAAAAAGCTAATATCCGTTTCTCCAGTTGGCAGAAAAGCTGGCATCTGTGCCGTCAGGGTCTCTTCAGTGAACTCAAGTATCCAGGTAGAGGGGCTGTTTGTTTATCTTGTGGTCTTGACTCCCACTGGGTTGAGTGTAGAAAGGAGGGAGGGGAAAAATCCTCTGAGGGACTGTGAATATTTGGAAAGGAATAGCTAGGGATGGTGTTACAGAACTTGGGGTCACGGTCTGTACCTCAAAAGGCCAAGAACAGCCACCCTTCCTTAGGAAGCCAATTAAAGCAGCTGAATTCATAGAAAAAGGAGAAAAGGGCGGTTTAGTCAATGTGATCGCATTGGAAAGAGGAATAAAGAGATCCAGTGAGCCTCTAGCTCTGACTTAAGTGCATCTTCACGGTCCTGAAGTGAGAGTAAAGTTTAAATAAAGGGCCAGAGACATCTAAGCAATTTCTCTTACGCTGTGATACTGCCCATCATTGTCTGAGCTTCATTCCTACCCTGTAAGATGGCTGACAAGTTGTTAGATATGGGAAGCAAGTTCTCCTTCTGGATGGTGTCTCTTCCTTCACCCATCATGTGATCCCTGGTGGTGGTGGGGGTGGGGGGGCTCCTGGGTTTGAGGGTCCGTTGTTTCAATAGTTTGATAGTGAGTCGGAGAGATGCAAGTGTCTTTTCAGAGTATCTTAATTTCTGCCGGGTTAGTGGTAATGGACAAGGACAGTGAAAACAAGGGCATGACGATAATCCTTGCTGTGTCCAAGGCTCAAGGAGAGAAAGTGTAAGGCTTCCCGCTGTGCTTGGCTCTCCGGAGGTGTCCTCCCACAATGCAACAGGCTTTGGGAGTTGAGTAGAATGGAGATCTGTGGAGTATAAAACAAGCAGGGGGAGGATCTTGGGAAGTTTGTGTGTGTGTGTGTGTGTGTGTGTGTGTGTGTGTGTGTGCCAAAGGAGGGGTGCACGGAGTGACAGGAAGGCATGAGTGGGTGAAAGCATGCTGTGTTTGGGGACAGTGAGGTCACTCCCAGCAGTGGGGGCCTGTGGTGCTGTGCATTCTGTCACACCCGGTTATCATTCAGTGCCCTATTGATCCCTTG